GTGCGGCATGACACTGTCCCACAGCAGTTACGCGACATGTATGAAGTTTGTCCGAAGTCGTTGAGTGTTGTCGGAGGTACAAAAAGGGCACCTTTTCTCGACTTGCGGGGGGCAAGCCAAAAGTCCCAGGGGCCTTTGGTGTGGCTTGCATTGGCGCCTTTGCCTGGATGGAAGTCTTTCCTTCAACCGGCATCCTCCTCGGATGATCCATCGATCTCCTCTGATCCGTTCACTACAGCAGAAGGCAGCATTAAAGAGGCATGGACCCGGAATTAGAAGTAATGAAATGGTTGAACTCAGCTAAATGCCCACCGCTTCTCTCCCAAACCGCAACTGCCAATTCTTACAGCCTCATCATCCTCATCAGCCTCATCAGCCTCATCCATAGATGTCACATCAGTCAAACATGTGACGGATACAGCACACAATTAACACTATTCCAAAGCCTCCTAGAGCATTAAATGGATGACATCTGAGTTGGGTTAAACCGAGCTTATAACGAACAATGTTAGTCAGGCTATTCGAACTTCCTACCACGATGATGCTCCGAATCTACGAAGAACTCTGTTCCATCTGTGGCATTTCTAGCCTTGCGAAGAGTACTAACCCGTCCTGCGGCATCTTGAAACGTGACTGGGGCTATTCGCTCAGTTCAATCGTCAAGAGAACTTCCTCCAGCTCTGCACATTATACGGGATAATCATTAGTCTGAGCTACATGCCTAAAATTGCTCATAACCATACGAAACATTGTCCAGATTCTACCCCTCGTCCCGCCCAAAGAGATATGGTGCAGCGATGCAGGTCATTGAATGGAAAGTCCATCTCCTCGGCCGTTTTGGCCGAATAACGTAAGGAGTTGCTCCAAGATAAATGTCGACAGTGTCCTCCTTTATATGAGGAGTATGTCTTCCCTTCTCATACCCTCTGATATACTTTCGATGGAGCGGGCTTCGTCGGGGCGAATGCCGCAGATCGCGCATGCCTGACTGTAATCCAACCCGAATATCCCAATTCTCTCGTACCTCGTCCCGGCTGTGGGCGACACCACTTTCCTCAACAGTAGGCCGGCCAGAGTTGTTGCTTCCACTCCCGATCGCTCCTGCCATTGTGTGCAAATAGGGAGGAGAAACACATCCATGGAATCAGACTCTGGCATCATTGGCGTATCCAAGTAGATGGTGGGCTCCATCGAGTATTGTTGCAGGTTGTTGGAGTAGTCTTGACTGTCGAGCACCAACGTATATAGTCCGTCCTCTTCGGGGTTTCCGTCCATATCCCGACTCGCAATCTGAAGACAAGCCTCAAATAGAGAACCTCGAATCTTCATCTGCGCTGATGATACCCTGGCTAGTCGGCTGCCCTTGGGCTGTTCGACATTGGTGCTCAAGATGTCCATGACGACCTTGTCACACTTGGCAGGCCAGTTCCAGATGACCTTGGCTTCCAAGGACGCCCAGGACCAGGATGGAGCCCGATAGTCCTCGTCTCCTGCCGAGGCACTCCTCACCGATGGAGTGCCGTCAGCTTGCCTTCTGCCTAAGACATGCCAGAGCAGGCTCTGTGGTAACAGTGCATTATCCCACAGTCCAGCAAGATATCGTTCATTTGTGGCTTCAGTGACTTTTTGAGCAATGCCGGAAATCGCGACGAGTTTGTCCTCGGCATAGCTCAATTTGCATTCCATGTATACTTCAACGATCCTGCTCCAGACCTCATAGACCCAGTAAGGCTCGTCAGTTTTTGAGCCCGGTGATAGCCAAGTCGAGATCAGTCTCGGCAGGTATTTGGATATCAATGACGCATCGGATGGTCGCTTGTATGCTGGATTGAGGATTTTGTCAGCCTGCCTCCAAGCATGCATTTTTCGGTTGTGGAACTGCTCGGGGATGCCATCAGGATATGCTTCGCAGGCCATTTCACACCGGCACTCCCAGAATATCTGCTCCTGCCCGAAATGAATAGTCCGTGGGCTGAGCAAGCGCTCTTGAAGAACCCATCCTCTTGTATGTAAAGCCGTGTCGGTAAGGCTGTTGCTCCAGAAATCATCATAGCCGATGACGTACGTCTTTTCTCTGTTGTGCAGTTGAGGATCAGACAACGGATAGGGCTCCGCCATGTAGACGAGCCTCTCCGTAAAACATCCTTTTTGAGGGTCTGCGCTCGTAGCGGCAATGTTGCAAAACGAATTTGTGTAGATGTCGCCCATCTTCGTGCTCTCTGCAAGCCAGTCGTCCCTGGAGTCTTGGATAATGCATAATGCATCGATCCAGATGTATTCGACCCCCATCCAGATGGTAATTTGCATAGCATCCTGGAATCTTTTTGGAAGTGAATTGATCGGAGACCACTCCGCAGATAGATGTTGTTGGTTCGCTGTCGTCAATGTGACTGCTGTTCCAGCTCCCCAGCAATGGCTCAGCGTGACATATCTTGGGGGTCGGGATCTCTTTGCAAACTTTTCCAATCGGAACGTGTTCCTAGTTGTCGGGTTGATGTGCAGTAACCGGGCAGGAGAACCAGCCCCAGTGCGCCAGTCTTGGTTGCATCGAACGTGCGTCGCACGACAATTATCAAGCCATTGCCGAACTTGGTCTTTACATTTTCCTGAAAATGTATTTGGTGTTAAAGCGAGTGGTTCACCCGAAGCAGACACCTCTAGAGAGATCCGTTAGCGGCAGAACCGACAGTAATTGCGATCGAGATATTTACCGTTCTTCGGAAGAATTTTAAAAACGCCGCTGCAGTCGAAAACCTGCTGTTTAGCGATGGGTGCATCTCCATTTAGGATTTCGGTAGTAAATTCTAACTCGTAATGGTCCTCCAAGTGAGGAGCAGAGCCATCCGCGTCGAGGGCACGGAGTTGGTAGAACGTGCGAAATGTGTGCGCTTGTTCTCGAAGCTCGGTGCTGCAATCTCTATAGATTGTCCAGCAGATGTAGCACCCCTGCCGAACAGCATCATAGAAGTCGCCCGCACCGACGTGGTGAGAGCCTGCCCATTCGTTCGGTCCTTCAGGGTGTTCAAAGAGGGCTGGCTTGGTGCCAGTCCAGTTTCCCGGTGGATGTGTCTTGACCACCGACAATAGGTCGATACATGCATTACATAGCATAGTGTCTTGTTGAGGGGGCATTCTGTGGAAGTGTTATTGTATTTTCCCTGGCAGGGTATTGTGTGTACGTGCGATGTGCTGGCAGCTTTGTTGAAGTTGACGCACCAGGACCATGATTGCAGCATATATGTAGCTCTGAAGCTGCACTGCCACTTCAGTCACCGGCGTCTGAAACCGGGCTACATATCAGTAGCTCAAGTGCCAGCAATTCCACCGGACGAAAGGCTACCTGGCAACTAGAGTCAAGGCAGTCATCGCCTCCACATCGGAGTGGATCAATCATCAAAAGTCGGATTCCATGTCGCGAGCCTAGGACTGTTGGGTAGAGCCTTGCCATTAAGAAGGGGCTGTTTTGTAAGAATGTGTGAGATTTTCTCCTCGAGGGAAGGTTGGAGCCTTGTGGGTTAGTATCACATGAGCGCAATGTGATTGGCTGGTATCCAACCAAGAGTGAGTCCTGGATCGTGTTACAGCTCCCTCAACTCCGTCCACCATCCATCCACCACCCTCCCCATCATTTGGCCACCGCATCAGCTCCTCTCAGCACTTTACACTTGAGGGGGTCGAGCAATATATTTATTCTTCCGGCCTCCCCATCTAGTCAAACGTGCCTCTTGTCCTTCGTGGACTTTGGTGTCTGATGGAGTGGCACTTTTGGCTCATACATGCCCCATGCACCAGGCCATGTTGCGCCACAAAACCCTGGGACTACCAAGGACTTCCGCTCAATTCCTTCTTATTCTCTCATGTGCTCTATCTGACATGGTCTGACTCTCTCGGTGTGTGTCAATATTCCCATTAAGATACTGACACTGCCGCGCTTCTTCGAGGCAGCTGCTTTGTCGCGTGCCTGGACAGATCGGCCTAGGCTGTGCGAGAGCTTTCCCCAAACAATCATGCAGCAGTTAACGGATAGAACAATTGCTGAGAAAGACGGCAGCCTGCCGTGACCTTGAAATGCCTATCAGTACTTCGTGGAGATGAGGCATGCCACTGAGTTCAACTAGGTTCCGCGAATGATTAATTAACATCCAAACCATTCTGGAGGTTGTTGCGAATTGAATAATTAATTGGCTGGCAGGCGAAAAGCGTGAGGCTGGGCAGATATTGCTCAAGCACCACGCGCCATCCAGCCCTTGTCGATCGAAGTGTCCGAAATCTGACCTTTATTTGGCGTCTGGATCTCCTACGAAGGCATGAAAGGTTCCTTGTCAGTTCTGCGGCGTGGACATTTAACACAGGATCGAGCTCGCCATGTGACGTTTAGATTACCATCCACAATCTTGGTGCATCGTCCTTTTTGTTTTCCCCGGAGACCGTTTCATTTACGATATCTTTGTTCTTCCCTGATTGAGAGAACATACCGATCTTTCCCGAGGAATTAGTTGCTTGAACAGGACTTTCTCTGTATGATACACTGGGTTTTGAGAGCGAGCAGATCCAACCTAGCCGGCCGCCAAACTTCAAGGGCTTTCATCTCGCAGGATGTACATTCAGCGTGTACCTGACGACAACTTCACTGGAAGAACGCCGATGCCCAACCGCTGAGTGGCGGATCCAAGCCCTCGCTCGAAGTCCTGGACTGCGTTTTATGCTGCTGCATAGCAATAGCGGTCACGCCTGCCTTCGGTTCCGTTGCAGGGTAGGCGGCACGTGATAATATATTTTGTTTGGGCGTCCTCGTAAACGTCTCGATGTATCACATCGTGAGGCAAAACCCATTGTTGCCTGCCTAACTTGGCAGCAAGACTACTCTTTGCATTTAAGCTCTCACGGCTTCATCAACTTGCTAGATGCGCAAAGAGTGAATTCCGTCGGCAGTTATACGATGGCCCTCCAAGCCACCCCTCCGGGGAAGAATATGTGACCAGCACTACTACCGGGTCGACATGGACCGCTTTCCGCTCTTCGGCTATATTCTAAAGCAAATCATCCCGATCAGGCTCCGGCATGATGAGGTTCCGTATGATGGAGGAGGATTCCACAAATTCGGGGAACGCGCAGGCTTTGACTTCAGAGAACTCGGGGAGGGTCTCTTCCTCGGAAACCATTCCCTCCTTAAGCGGCAGCCATTGTCTGTGTATGCCTCCCTCATACAGTCTTGGTTTTACTGGGGGTCGTTACACGAATGCCTTCTTCAGTGCAACACGGTTGAAATTGAGGATTATCGTGAACAACAGAAGGGACCAGATGAAGACTGTCGCGTGCTAATAACGACGAAATTTCTAGAGCGCGATTTGGTTGCTACCGCGCAGAGGCTGCAAGCCGCAGATCCAGCTGGCCCCCCGACGCATATCAAATACGCAAACGATGTTCTCGTAAGCAGTCGCTTCCTTCTTAGAGGGCCGTCTGGTCAAAATTGAGAAAGCCGCTGAGAACCCTAGTGACGAGAGAGCACAAGTTTGGACAGCACATGACCGCGATGTCTGCCCACACGATCTCGAACTTTCGCTGTGCTGCCTTGGATACACGCTTACGTATGCCATAGACGCCATTTCTGTAGAGCTTGGTCTGTCTTCTTCCGAACACAATGCACGCTCCGCTGGACATTGGTATACACCTCCTTTTCTGATCCGTCTCTTGGAGAATTTGGGATTCTGTAGGAGTGATAGCCACCATTTCGAAGGTATTTATGGCTTTGTTACTGCATGTACGAGGTATGGGAGTCACGTTTCCCAGCCTCAGCAAGAGAGGCAACCACTCGAATTGCACGGCAGAACGATGTGAGGCTGATAACATCAAGCCTCAAGAGTATCAGCAGAAGCACGTCCAGCATAGCTGCACATGCTCGGAGATCTTGCCACGCGAGGCATGGGATGCCATGCTTAAAATCATCGAACAGGGTGGGATACGTCTTGTGAGAGTGAAGCCTCGCTCTCACAGTCTTGGTGGCAGTATCGACTTCGAAATCGTGCTAGCGGGCCCTAGCACCCGCTATCTTGCGTATAGCCACGTTTGGGCCGATGGTAGAGGAAACGTGTCAGGTAACGAAGTATATGAATGTCAATGGCGTTGGCTCCAAGAATGCGCACAGCAGTATGGGAAAAGAGACATGGACATCTGCAGCGCGCCTAGCGAGAATCTGCTATTTTGGATTGACACTTTCTGCGTGCCGCGAGGCTGTGACGAGCGTATGTGGCAGCTCCGCACCAAGGCCATCTTGTCCATGTCAGAGATCTACCGAAAGGCAGAGGTGGTGGTAGTTCTGGACTCTGCCCTCGAGAATGCCGAAATCACGTCGGTCCTCGAGTTCGGTATGCTATTGAAGTTCTGTGGCTGGGTCCCGCTGTGTCTGGAAGTTGCGCGAAGAAGCAGTCCCGCAAGAGTTGATAATCAAGACGAGAAGGGGCCTCGCCAATCTGCGAATGATCAATTACCAGATGGCGAAAGTGAGGTATCCTTGCAGAGAGGGAAATGAATGGCGAATCCTCGCCCGGAATGGAAGAAGAGTATATGCATGCAATGCTCCAAAATTGTCAGATGATCGACAGATTTTCGCCCTCTGTGAAGGCGACCTTTTTCAATGCTCGGAGAGAGGTGCACAAACGAGCCACATCCTATCCTAGTGATAGATATCTGGTTATGGGTATTATCAGCCAAGCAAATAAAGAGACGCTGTTAGCTCTCCAAGGAACCGGCGACGATAACCGGAACACCGAGGAGGTTGGACTGGCCAAGCTGAACTTGATCCTGCTGTCAGCGTCGACGATCCCTCACAGTGTGATATTTACGACGGATTAGAGGTTTGCAGAGTTTGGCATGCAGGGGGCTCCCGAGACGATAGGCGGCGATATTCCCGAAGACAAGAGTGATGTTCCGGCTCGAAGGATTCCCGGCAAGGGCGCGATCGTCAGACTTCAACGATGGCGCATCGTCAGCTCGCCACAGAAGCTGCACATCTCGGCCTCTTTCATCACGGTCAAGTTGGAGCAGGCCGCTCGATATCAAGACCGATACAAGCTTGCTGTCTGGCCGACAGACAAAAATCGGAAGGACTTTGTCACTCTCGTATCCCTCATTAGCCCGAACGCAAGGCTGGCGATTATTCTGAGCGCTGTTCCGGGTCTGAATGACACAGCTGTCAATTTCAAGCTCGGGCTTCTCGTTGAAGAAATCAGAAGCCTAGTGGGCGAGGGTGTGCAGGACGTCGAGGAAGATAGCGTCGTACATGTCAAGTACCTCGCGGTTCTTAGGGTATATGCGATACACGGCGACGGCAACTCCATGCAGGGGATGGAAGCGGAGTGGTTCAATCAAGGCATGGACAAATTATGGTGTATTGGATAACAGTCCGTAAGCGAAACTGCAAGACCTCTATTCTCGGTCCTACGATCCCGACTCTTCCGGCCTCAACTCCTGGCCCAAGGCTCCCACCCGGTGAACCGGGTGAGCGCAAAGCCGCGGCACCCCTGATCCCAAAGAATGTGAGCTGGGCAAGCGAGAAGATGGACCCTCCTCGCCTCCTCTTTCCCCCGACTTACACAATGTGTTAAGCAAAGGACTCCATGCTTTGAATTTAAGTATCCACAACACACAGCTCAGTTATCCAATGTCATCAAGCAATCGCGGAAAATGTCTGGCTTGCCAGTATGCGGTTTAATATTTTTTTCCTTGTTGAAGAAGAGGCAGTGCGACAGCCTACCCAAGCCATTGAATTGGTGATTCAAATCCTCTGAAATAGAGCTCCTCGTCCCTTTTGCCCGTGCAGGCCTGTAGTCATGTCTCAGCAGCCTCCGAATTATCAAATGCTCGGCCAATCAGACAACCATTTCTCCCTTCACAAGGCTGGCCAAGGTATCTCCCTTCCACCAGAGTGCTTGTGCTGAGACAATCATTCCGACAGCAATCCGTTCGATCCAATAATCGCAAAGACGCAAGCATTTCATCTGGTTCTGTCCGATTCAAAAGCCGACCGTTTAGTGTGGTCAGGCCTTCTCCCTCAACCGCATATAAGTCAACAATCCCCACTGCACGACGAAAAAACTGGAATGGTGGTCAAGTTTCTTTCCCGGATGGACGAGCTGGATATCATATCGTCGCAGAAGTTCGGGGATGACTTTGTTCATCTCGAGCAGAGCAAGGTGTCGTCCGATGCACACGTGCGAACCGCCACCAAACTGGCAAAGCTGAGTTAGGTCCGGATTTCCCGCGTCTTGCTTTGGAGTTATGGGTGCATTTGAACTCACCTGGAACATGCACCGATCCATCATCTTGATCTTCTCCTTATCATTGTCGAGCCATCTCTCGGGTCGGTACACCTCGGCATCGTCGCCAAAGACACTCTTGTTTCTGTGTAAGACCCACCCATTCACGGCGACAGCCGTGCCCTCGGGTAATTTGACACCATCGATCTCGGCGCCGCCAGGAGGGACCTTTCTTGTAATGTTCAACCCGACAGCAGGAGCAATTCTCATGGCTTCCTTCAGACAGGCTTGGAAATAGGGCAGATTCTGTGCCTCGTTGTACGTGACCATCTCAGACAAATCGGCAGACATGATCTCCTCAACCAGCTTGTCGTAAATTCTCTTGTTGGACAAGACATACCAGAAGAAGCTTTGCATCGTGCTTGCGGTGGAATCGCTACCTGCGAAAATGGCGCCGTGTGCAATTGCGAACACATCTCCAGGGCCTAGGGCTTCGGGATGTTCTTTCTGTGCTACGATCAAGCTGTTGAGCAGATCCTTATACTCTACTTTCTCTCCTTCCGGACCCTGGCGCTGTTGGAGTTGTCCCAATGCCGTCTTCGTGATGAGAGCATTTTTGCTGGACAAGAATGGAATAAGGTTCCATAGTGGATTTCGTCGGAACAGGTAGTCGAGCCAGGGGACCTGGCCCACAATACCGTTGTACCATTGAGAGTTATCGATCGTCTTGATGGCACGGTCGACATCGACACCCGCCTCGAGAAAGCCGAACTTCTTGGAGAACGCCACTTCGCCCAGAACCTGGAAGCAGTAAGTAGTCGGATCTTTCATGTCTGCACTCCCAATGGGAATGAGTCTGGTATCTAACTCACATCAAACGCAAAGAAATGAAGCCAGTCGCCAAAATCGCAGATCTTATTATTGTCGGCGAACTCGTCCAATTTGGAGATCAAGAGCTTTTCGGTTTCCTCGATTCGAGGCGTACATTGTTGCATCGAGGCCAGGCTGTAAGGAGTTGCTGCATATCGCTTCTTAACGCCGTGAACAGCCTCTCGAGTCTCGGTGAATATGTCGGGGTTCTCGGGGGGCGGGAACACTCCATAGAAGTCTGTCTTATGGAACCCCTTCCCGGTCTTGAACAATTCAACTGCAGCTTCGGGGTTCGAAAATGACACTTCGTTTGGTGCGATGCGGACGACCGGGCCTAAGGGGCGTCAGCTTTGTCCAGGGCTCCAAACAGGTGAATCCACTACCATATTTCTTGTGAAGCGCAATGTGATGTTGTTCGGTCTGACCAGACCAAGTGCTCCATACTGTCAAGGTTATAATCAGTTCTGAATGCCTCTCCGTGTGCTTGCACTTTTGGAACCCACCTTTCCAGGCTCGTGTGCACGAGGCGATGAATGGCCCAGGGAATTGCCGCAGAGGTGAGGAATAGCGTCTCCATAGAGGTCGCACAAACAGGAGCAGGAAGAGGATCACGAAAGGATGGGCAGCCACAAACTGCCATGCGGTCACAACCGCGGACTTGGTCAAGGGTGCTTCTTCAGTCGCTTTGATCTCCATGTTGGTATAGGGTTCTGGTGAAGAGCAGTCGAGGTGTCGTTTGACGAAGAGAATGAATGATTAAGAAGGAGCGAGCCGCCATCCCAAGAAACACCATGACGCCTATGCCACTCAGGGTAGTCCTGAACAAAATCATCGTCCCTGCTCCTCCACGCTGCCACACAAGTTCTAGGAGAGTGGTCGGATTTCCCCATCTTCGCGAAACAACAAATGCCCCACACACTAGCCCCACGATCTGAGGCCATCGAGAGTGAGCTGATGGGCTTCCACTGGTCCACAGACATGCCCAGGATGGGTGACGGGGCTGACCAGGAGGCAATGCGCTGGGGATCTTGTCCGTGGAGGGATCTGAATTGATGTTGTAGCAGATGGGGTAAGAATCGAGCAGACGGCCGTGGCTAAACTCTCTCTGGCCGTCTCAACTGCCGAGCGGTCTCGCCCTGTGCTATCTTCATCACTCTAAAGAAGCCACGGGGTGTCAGACCTTCAGCTGCTGATCCTCAGATGTCTGCTGGTTCGGCTTGTTATCCTCGAACAATAAGCCGTCGATTCTCAATGCCGCATTCTGGACCTTGTGATTGAGGAATTGCCATGTAGAATGTTCGCATTTTTCTCTCTTGGAACCACCATCAACGCCATGGAAGCCGCCGAATCTTCTCCACATGGCGCTAACGGTGGTTCAAAGAGTTTTCGAGTCTGTGTCCGCAGTAAGACTTGGATGTCCCGAATGGCCGTTGAACAGCCTACCCCACATGTCGAACTGATGTACGAGGCCCAGAGGTGGTGAAGCTTCTGTTCCCTCCGGCGGCATTCCGGAGATACCCCTTTTGAGATGTCTTATCATACCACATGTCAGCTGGAGTCGTGGGATGTGTCTAGCATTGATCCTGGATTGTCGATGTGCGGCGTCAGTGCTGCGTCCATGTTTCTGTGCCTGCTTAGCTGGCATCCTCGAGGAACCCACCAAACAGTCAACGGCGTAGGGAGGGTTCGATGGGGTTCGATCAAAGGAGAATGTCCCGATCACTTTGGCCAAGTGTATCGAACGAAGTGGATGTGGGTTTCAACATGTGCTGACTGGCGGCTGAAGTCTACGTGTGATGTTTGAGCCTAGGACGAAACATTTCATTCAATGTGACGGATGTGGTGGCGTCAATGCACGTTGCGATGGAGGTCGACACGGCACAATTCTTCGATCCATCACTCTGGCAAGCCCGTCGCTGCGGACAGCGAGGTGAGTTCGAGTGCGAGGTCAGGGTGGAGAGGAATCAGCTGTTCTCAGGCTCTGACCACGGCAAGGACGGGACGGAATATGATGGATGGCAGTAATAGATTGTGAACGAAGTTCAGGTGTGAGGTATTAGAAGCATACTGGTATCGGGATATGCCATCTCTCGCCAGTGGTACTACCATTTGTAAGTCACGCGCTCTCTTCATCAACAAGCTCCAAGCCTGCAAACAATTAAAAACTTGAATGCTCCTGTCTGATCGTACATGTCCGTTACTACCCAGTGGATTTGGCTGCTTCGCAAGCCCAAAGGTTCCCGGTGCTCTGACACTCTTGCTGTCTGTCCGCCTCTCTGCCCTCAGCTCTTCCTCTTCCGTTCACGTACTCCGTCTGATGTGGACACGCTTTCCACAGGCTCGCCATTGACGAGAACAACTGGTTTGCCTCCAGCGATTTTGCCATTTTCTGAGGCCTTCTTTCCTTCGCTTGGCGCATCTTCAATCTCCTCATCCTCATCCTCGTCCTCACTTCGTTCATCGGCCCGGACATTCGAGAAGACAAAGTTCTTGGCGATGCGGAGGATCAGGAACAGCCAGAAGAGGTTTACAGCCTGAAGGGAAGCGAGAAGGGCAAATGTGATGATCTGGCTAATCCAGCATTTGTATTGCTGAGTCTCCCAGTCCAGCTCGTAAGGTCCCACGGTCCGGAATTCGGTGAGGGTTGCCCACAAAATGCGCAGGTTGATCCAGTGGCGAAGGTAAATCCAAACACACATAAATAGAAAGTAATAGGGTCCTACGATGATCGAATCTAGATAATTGAGGGTCTTGGAAGTCTGGAAGCGGTCAGTTTTGGAGATAACCAGCTCTGCGCAAGGTCACGGCTTACCGCGAGGAAGAAATCGCTGATGTCATGGGTGATGTAGACAGCAATGCCCATTTTAGCAAAATGAAAGCGGTAGCTCAACGCAATAAGGGAGAGGGTGACAATGTGGTGAAAGACCAACTCTTTGAAGTCCTTTCGAGGCTTTTCCAGTTGCAGCATGAGGACGAGGGCTTGCTGAGCCCAGTAGGCCGCCTGCAACAAGTAGTATGCCTTGAACACGCCCTCATGCTTTCGATGAGGGAAACCTTCGAACATTGCCGTGGTATTGAAGTACCAAAGGGTCCCCTTGGACATGACATAAAGGCCAAACGGACCAAAAATGCCAAAGTAGATGGCCGTGTAGACTTGTTCCATAAAGCGTGACTGCTTCGCTCTCTTTTTGATGCCACATCTGATGGCAATGGGACGGATCAACCTCTGCATTAAAAATTCTCTTGTAAAGCTCAGGACGATCGTGTAAAAGGCCACAAAGGCAATGTCTGCTTTCCCCTTGCCATACATGTCAGGCCCGCCGAGATAATCAGGTCCGAGATTGTACGATAAGAAAATCGCCTTGTGAAAAGGGTTCTGCTCTCCGGGATTGATGTAGTAGGCAACGAGGATCGCAACGGTGAGGATGAGCGGGTTCAGCCAGGTGTGCCGCAAGGATATTTGCTTCCATTTGTGAAAGGCCGACCTTGCTTTCCGCCTCTTCAAATGGGGTTTTGCGTCTTTCTCGTTTGCCTGTAAAGAGTCAGATAGGTGGCCCTCGAGATGATGTTGCTTCATCATACAGAAGTTGGGCGTGCTGCCATGGTAGCGAGTGCAGGTGCGCTGGTGTCTCCCCGGGGATCACCTCCAAGGTTGCTTGACGTTCGCCGTGGACGTGCCATGTTGTCGAAAATGATGTGAACAAGAGACCGCACGTTCCGAAGGCAACAGAATGTGGTTATGTGAGCGAACGTTTAAAAGGGTGGTTGAGAGTTGTGCGAAACTCAAAAGGGCATGTGAAATGGCCATGTCATATAATATTGTAGTAAGCCTCCGCAACAGGCTCCGTCGCTGTCCGGAGTAATAGTAGTATGCGTTGAGGGGGGTCAATGGACCCAACAGCAATCTCCTGGGAAAATCCAGAATCCTCAAATTGCTCGTATCACCCCGTATTCCGCGTATCACCCTCGCATTTAGAGCACCTTTTGCACTGGACATCAACAGGGCGTAATGCATGCCTACTAGCCAACTTACTCTGCTGGAACGAAATTGCGAAATGACGTTGGATCACAGAATGCTTTTTCTACACAGTAATTACCGCCGTGGCTTTGGATACTGCCCGACAGCGCCACACTTTCCAGCACCAAACTTGAATGTAGGAGCCTCTTCGTCATCGTTCCAATAGCCAGGTCGTCCCATGCATCAGTCGTCCTTCTGGCCTGTCTCGTGGTGGCCTGTACTGGACCGCTGTGTGGTATCAACGGTTCCGTGAAGCTTCGACGTCGCATCCATACCCTCGGGTTTCTTGCTTCTGTCTGCCTCGCCCATGAAGGGATTGTTTGCTCCAGAAACATCACCTTGGGCCTGCCAGAATTTAGCAAACCAAATCTCTTTCCGAGCACCAGCAGAGTCCAACTTACGTCTTTGGCACCCTTCTCTTCAGATTGTTTTGCTTGGTCCTCTGGTAATGCAGTCCCTTTGGGTGTTCTGCGCATTGGCGTCAGTCTACACCTCAAATTTGGACTTTCGCGAGCAGAAGCGTCATCTAGCTGGCAACACCTACGTTTCTTTATCATCCACCTCACTAGCGGCCTCTTCTTTGACTTCGTCCTGGCTCTCTTCCTCATTTCTTCCTTCCAATGTGCCCTCTATATCTTCCTTTGCGGGTTCTTCTTCTTCTGCTTCTTCTTCTTCTTTCGACGCTTCAGGAGGAGCTTCCTCGTGCTTCTCTTTGGTATGGGAGCCGTGGCCATGGTCGGACTTTTGGGGTCCTTGCTGCAATAACCAACCCGCAGCTGGGACAGTCACAACGAGGGAGGCGACTAGCCTACCCAAGCTGTGTCAGTGACAGTGACAGATCCGTCCGTAGAGAGGGAACTCACCAGGGAATGTCACTACTCTTGTGGGCGCCATGCTCGGTGGCATAAGTCCTCCGACCAACTCCACGAAGACTAGTTCGAGCTTGGGTTCCCGCACGTTTTAGAGAAAAGGACCGGAGGGCGCCCCGGAAGGCGGCTGGTCTGGGTAGCGGCATTGGAGGGCGAAGAAAAGTGAAATAGACGGAGTGAGAGAGGACAGCGATAGTCTAGAAGAGGGAGTATTGACTGAATAACGAAGGGTCTTTTGCCAATTGACGGGAAAACAGCTCCGGAAACAACTGGGACGAGAAGCTTTTGGAGCTCAGCCCAAAGCCTACCTACTGTAGCTCGCTAGGTACCCGAGAACGAAAAACATGCCGAGTACTTCATCGTCCATTTATGATTAGCCGCTCGCCGCTTTGCTCACACTCGGCTCACCTGCTGTTTCCTGAGCACTGCCTGAGCGTTTTGGTCTTCTCTCTTCCTCTTCATCTATAATATTAACTTTCGTCAACTTTAGACGACGAGACCCCTTTAAGATACTAGGGGTACTTAGTTGGGCGCCTTCTATGTAGCTCTATTACGTAGTAATGATGGATATTCGCTCACTTCGCTCGAAGGCCTACTGTTAGGGATTCCTTGGCAAGTAGGCAGAGTCTAGCGATAAGCGTATATGTAAGGTACCCCTATAGTATATGGTTAATACTGTACACGACTCGAAGCATAAGAGAAGGAAGGCTGCGCCTCCCCATGCGGGAAGTGTGCTAGTAATAAAGATGCACTCCCCGAGGCGCATCTATGTTTGGCTGGTGGCCTGATTATTCTCCGATGTATCAAGCCAACATCAAGCGTCCTCCTTCCGATGTTTAGCCGAACCCGTAACTGTATTTTTCGATGAATTAAATGATCGCTGTGAGAGTATGTTCCTGGATGCAGGCTCTGAAGTTCTCGCGCAGCGCGTGCGCGAGTTCGTTGAGTGCAGCCATTTACTTAAGTATAAATAAGCTAAAATCTACCGAAGTTAAGTGAATTCACACTATCTACATATAAAGGTAACACACAACTACCTACAACTATGGGCGGCGTATTATTAGTGAAAGTTATAAGTCATATCGTCCAGAAGCGGGAATTAGCAAAATGGACGGAAATATATCGTTCAGCCTTGCCGTGGGGATTTTCTCAACAAGGCGCTTCACCGGTTTGACCTTGTGCAATAGCCAATCCGTGGTCTCTCTTCGTCTGCTTACTCTGCCTATGCTCGCTGATGGTATCCTCCAAGCAGTCTTCCGTGCTCTTGCTAATCAGATTGTGCTTAATGTCCATCTCCGAACTCATGTTTTGCTCATCCAGTGCCGCTCGCGAAGACGAAGACATCTGACACCCCACTATATTTACTTGTTAGAGCGCGGTTTGCCCCGGCGTTCATCAGGGAAGGTTGTGAGTGAGAAATAGGTGACCGTGAAACGCAATCAAAGGATATTCCACGCTAATCTAATCCATGGTAGGAGAATATACAAGGAAGTAGGTAGGTGCTGACCTCGTTAATGAATGTTTAGAACAGCAACCTCCTGTCGTAGTTGATCCTAGTTATCTGCCGTTGTTTACCAGCGTGATCTAAGAGCAGTGCAATATTTTCCCCGTAATGACCGACCCGCGGCGTCTTGGTTTGCAGTAAGGTCGATTCTACCCGGAATCGGTCGCAGTGGTAACTGGGGAGGTATAGGATGATAGGGTAAAGGATGAGCACTGACACGCTGCGGTGACGCTTGTTCTCGGTCCTTGCGAGCTGGGCGGCGGGCGCCTCGTCTGGCCCATGTGCAAAGCGAATCATCCGGAGATATGGCCAGATCCTAGCAAAGGGGAAGTCCTGGCAGAGACCTGCTACATCGTGTGCTTGGATGGCCCGGTTCATGACTACCCAAGCCAGGTTTGGAACCTGGATTTTGGCCGTGGCAATCTCAGATTTGGCCTTTTGGCGTTGTTGCGATCCATTTTTGTCAGCTGCATTGAGTGTCAGCAGCAGAGCAGCATCAATGTCAATGCGTGACTGAGGTATCCAGGTAGCAACCAATCCTTTGTCAGCCAGCGGCGCTCCATTGATCTTTCCTGTGTTCGCCCAAGCAATCAAATATCTGTGACCGTGATCAGAGAAGGAGAAAGCGGAAAGAATGGCCTTACTCCAGGCCCCGCTGAGCTCAGCCCATGGCGCATGCAGTGGTGCGGCCTGCGCCCATGCGCCCTTGCATGATCTCGAAGGCTCGACCCTCGCCCAGGATGATGTTAGATACTAGCACGTGAACATTATTAAATTGCACATCACAGTACCCGAATGGTGCGTCTACGCAGTCAGACCTCTGCTGATTTCACTTGTTGCAGGCGACCCACCGCCAAAGCCGGAGACTTGCAGAGGACGTATGATGTCGATATCTTTGGTGTGTGCGTCGACAAGGATGATGCTGTGTCTTTTAAGTGGATTCGGATCATCCGGGTTGGACCTCGCAAAACGATTAATCTGGTGATCGAAGCATGTCAGAAGAAAGGCTTCCACCAGCCATTTTTGCATTTTCCAACTCACACTCGACATCGCTTGTCCCCAGCGCTACTGATCCACCATTTCTGCCAGGTATAAGTTGAAGTTTCACAGCTTTGGGCCGACGACTGTGTGACTTACGGCACCGTTCAAGATATACTCATTACCTTCTCAGCGCATTTCCAAGGCAAGACTCCTTGCGTCTGATGCGGCCACAGTGGGCTCCGTCATGACATAGGTCGACCTGACTTTTCCATCTATGACAGGCCTCAACCATTCCATTTTATGTTGTTCATTTCCATATTTTGCAAGTAGCCAGCATAGTAGATTAGAACGATCACTTCTTAGAGCATCTGAAGGGGGAAGCAATTGATATGCAGGGTCATACTTCCATATTTCCAGTGTTAGGAGCACTGCAATTCATGGCCTCCGGGGCGACCAAACTGCGACTCATGGTCTCACACATGAACGTGTATTTGACTTTTGTGAAACTTGGTCCTTCAAGATGTGAGTGCATCCACGGGTTCCACAGCCCCAGCTGGCGCGCCCGTTGCTTGAGATCTTCCAAGATTGGAGGCACTGACTTCCACCGTTGGTCCGGATAGGTAGAGAGTTGTGCCTCGAAGACTGTGTTTACAGGGATACCTGTGACACGATATCAGCCGGAAGATAGATTAGTTAGAGCGGAGAAACCACACACTCTTCTTCCACGAATCTCTTAACTAGTTGCAGCGTTTCTTTGGCGTGCGGCCGGAGCTTATCTTCGATGATGGAGGGCATTCGAACAGACGCCATCGTGCTGGCAATCAAGACGATTATCTTTTGAGGCTGAGTTATTTCCAGCTTCTCCGCGTCGAGATGAATTTCTTCAGCAGTAGAGTTGTGTGTAGTAGAATAGATGAGACATGGGGAGGAAGTGGGAAAATCCCCAAAATGCAGAGGAGGATTAGGCTGATTGACGATTGTAGTCCCGGAGCGCGATCCTTGGGTAGCTAATCTGGTTGAGGCCCGACGATCCCTTTCCTTGTCACCTAGGCGACTGGATGCTAATGAACGGCCGCTACGAAGACCAATTTAATAATTGGCATAAGTCACTAGCTTCTAACTCCGTTGCCAAACTTACATACGGTACGCCACATATCACCATGACAGGAATACCTAACTTTGATTCCCTTTTCCGTCTCGACGGCAAGGTTGCTTTCATTACTGGAGGTGGGTTATTTCTCCTGGCTACGAGACTCACTGAACAGAGACAGGCTCGCGAGGCTTGGGCTTCGATATTGCAGCCGCATTCTTGCAAGCTGGCGCCTCGAAAGTGATTATCAACGCTCGTAAGGAAGCTGGCCTTCAAAGGGCGGCCCAGGATCTCAACTCTATCCCCAACGTACGCGGCCGAGCCTCATTTATTGCTGGAAATGTCAACACAATGGAAAGCGTCGAGAAGCTGGTCGCGGCAGTGAAGGAGGAAGTGCCGCGCGGAAGGCTTCACATTCTAGTGAATAATGCTGGAGCCAGTTGGGGGGGTTCATTCGAAGATTATGAGGATTGGAAGACTGCCAAAACTTTTGATGTTAATGTCCGAGGTCCTTTCAATTTGACACGCAAGTAAGTCCCAAAACCGTGAGATACAAATATATAAACACAAACGAGCTGACGCTGTGGTGTTTGGTGTTTAGACTAGTACCGCTTCTTGCTGCAGCCGGTACTCCCAGCGATCCAGCGCGAGTGATCATCATAAGTTCAGTGGGTGGCATAGCTGTAACACACGTCGGAAGGGACGGCGCCATTGCCTACAGTATCTCCAAGGCCGCCATGCATCATTTTGGTCGAAATTTGGCCCTCGAGCTTGCGCCCAAGAATATCACCACCAACGTGATTGCCCCGGGCTGGTTCCCAACACGCCTGGCCAACCCAGCAATCGAGAAATATGGCGGTCTGGACGCCGCGAGCGCCGACAATCCTATGGGCCGGCTCGGACTGCGGGAAGACATAGCAGGAACGGCAGTCTACCTCTGTTCAAAAGCCGGCGCGTATGTTAATGGGGAAGACATCACCCTTGATGGTGGGAAGAGACTTCTGGGGGGAAACTCGAATTCGCATCAGACCGACGCCAAACGTATCGCAAGGCTGTGATGAGACTTTCTAGTCATTGTTGACTGTAGCAGCGCTTGTGAAATCCAAACCACCTAGGACCAGAAGCGGCATAGAGGACTCGCGCCAGACTTTTACCAACTGAATGCCGATATCTATTGCAGACTCTACCACGTTCGGTATTTATCTACGAATATATGCTCCTTTACCAAAGAGGTTGTCATGGATTTTGGGGTTAGGAATCCTGAATCCTCATCCTCCCTGATGGCTGCCAGTGCTTTCACATAGGCGTTCCCGAATTGAGCGTTTCCATCGAACCACATGGTTGCACAGATATCATAGCGCGGCCTGACTGTTCCAAACCCCTCACTCAGCTCGTTGAGAACGTCATGGTCGTAGGGAACGTTCTGGGCGTATTTCTTGAGTCCCAAGGCAGGCCCCCATCTTTGGGTGGTTGTGGAATGTGACCGCATCCAGTACTGCGCTCCATTCGAGTTGGTGGACGACACCGCAAATGCAACAGCCTTGTTGATTGAGTTGTACTCCGAGGCCATTATCATGTCTGGAGATCCAGGCAAGATGAGTGTCCGCTCTTCCACCAGCACGAAGAAAGAAGTCGAATAGTCAAGAAAATCCGCACAGGCATCTCGTAAGACTTTCCATACCTCCCTCTGGGACCGAAAGCTTCTCGCAAAGCCATCATCCGTGTCGTCGATGCAAAATTCTTCAATCACGTCAAAAGGTGACTCGGAGGATATCAGGTTTGGACGGACAGAGCGCAGCTCATCGTCAGATTTGTCGCATTGCCTATGATTTTGAACATACTTGACAAGTCGAAGAGACGTCTGCAGGCTCGCTATCAACGGTCCTCGCTCCTCTTTGCACTTCTTTTGGAATACATCAATTGAAACATTTGCCTTTTGCCGCAGCGCTAAGATGATTTTGACCGTCATGACCAGAACGAGTCAGATGGTAGTTACCTAGAGCGGTGTGGAAGTTGTCAAGTTCTAACTGCGAGTACGCGGTACGATTCAATACCACTAACCCCAGCTGTCATTTCACCAACGGACGACACACCTTCGGGGCATGTTTGTCCCCACATTCCGAACTAGAAGGGTTAGCTTCCGGCCGACCTAGGTTAGCCAGATTCCACAGATTTCATCTAGAATTGGCTATGATGTCCGAGAAGCATCCTCAACACCACAGAGAGCCTATATTATTCAGCACAATTGTCGAATCCTTAAGTACGCAATTGCAAAAAGTGCGCGCGTCCCATACCTAATTTCTTCACGGAACATTAGGCCTTTTTTCTCATTTGACTTCGATCACCATGGGAAGTCTGGGACAGAGCGACAACGCTCGGCTTGCCCGGATCGATGCCAACAAGAAGCTTGCTTATGAGATATGCGAGAAATGGTCGGTACCCAAGGGCGGAGACGTCGATCCCTTCTTTGCCTTATTTCACGATAATGCAACCTTCACCACAATTGCGCAGAAGGACATGTTCCCCCGTCTGGCAGGCACCCTCGACAAAGCCGCTTTCAGGGACTGGGTCTTCAAGGAATCTCGAGTGGGGGACGTGAAGGTCACAGTGGAGGGAATCACAGCGGACGAAGACCGGCTAGCCTTGGAAGCCAGCTCGCAGATGGAAATTAATGGCAATTCGTACTGCAACAGGTATCATTGGTTGTTTGAAATTGAAGACGGCAAAATATCAGCGGCAAGGTTTTATCTTGATACACTCTTCGCAAAAGAGGCCATGCGCTGGGTCGACGAGGCGGAGGTCGCTCAAGGTCTGCGCTAGGACAGCAATGTTCTGATTTTTAATTGCTTCGCTCGCGAAGCCAAAGAAGCCTTGTCATTAAGCCATGTCAGCGCCACCACTGTGGATCGCTGCTCAACGACTCTGTCCGCCCCATTCATCATCTGCTCCTACTTGTCTATAATGGCCTGAGACGACTCTACCCCTTGTAGCCCGGGAGCATACCGAAAACGATTCGATGGACCTTGTATCCTCCTGTGCTGAAAAATTCACCGTTGAAGGTGCTCGCATCAATAGCCAGAGCCAGGATGATAGCCGCATTCCTAGCTGGAGGCCGAGCAAGCTCGAAGTTCTTGATGGTTCTCTCATCAGTGAGAGCCGGAGCGGTCATGCGTGAAGCTGAAATAGGTGCAACAGCATTGATCTTGATGTTCATGCTGTAGTCAAATTCTGCAGCAAGCGCCTTGGTCAGACCGACGAGGCCGGCTTTCGACGTGATGTAGGGCGTATAGTCTACCGTGCCGAGGACAGAGCTTGATGCGATGTTGACAACTCTTCCATAGCCCTAAGATAGAAACCTTGGCCACAGAGCGAGGCATAACGGCAGTGATCCCAGCGTATTCGTCTCGAGGATCTCTTTCAGGTCCGCGGTTGAATAGTTTTCGAGCTTCCCATATCTATTGATACCGGCACCGTTGATCAGAATGTCGACTCTGCCAAGGGAGCTGAGAGCGATGTCGACTATCTTTTGTGCGTCAACAACGCTATGAGTGTCTGGCACCGCCTTGTACCCTAGGGCACATATTTCACTCGCTGATTCCGTGGCAGGCCCTTCTGAAGCTCCATAGCCCGAGTACGCAGTGCCCACGTCGACAACGACCACGGAAGCGCCTTCGCGCTCTAAGGTGTGACAGATGATTCAGCCGAAAGAGCCTGCACACCCCGTGACGATAGCCGTTCGTCCTTGCAGGGAGCCGTCTGGCCGCCAGTGTTGCTGACTCATCTCGATCCTGGGTGGGCAAGTGCCAAAGATAATTTTGATTGCAGTTTCTAATATCGCGGGTGACCTATTGGTCACGAAGACATGCACCTGGGAGTTCACAGTCGGGTGAGAACGAAGAGTGCTGCGTAGGTGCTGCGTAGTTTGCAGACCCGTCGGAAGATCACAAATGGAATCAGATGTTCCGAAAAGGATAAATTTCCCAGGGTTTGATGGTTCGGTTTGGCTCCCGAACCTAGCGGGCTAAAGCGGGAAGGTAACAAGCCGGATTTGATGAGCCCCTGACATCAAGTATGATTCTTTAGACGTTCTGCGTCTTGAAAGTTCGACATACAGGAAGGCTCTCTGACAATGTCAAGGTTTCAAGACAAGGTAGCCTTCGTCACTGGTGGTGCCTCTGGCATCGGCCTGGCAGTGTCTCAGACTCTGGTGAGAGATGGAGCAAGAGTGGTGATCGGCGATATCAACATCGATCTGGCCAAGAAATCGGCAGCAGCCATCGGATCACGAGCCGTGGCCATCGAGGTTGATCAAGGAGACGCGAAGAGCGTCGAGTCTGCCGTTGCGTTCGCAGAAGAAACATTTGGTGGACTCGATCTCGCTGTAAATGCCGCTGCGATTCAGGGGCCGCTCGGCAAGATCTTGGAGATGGACCCAAAAAGCATCGAAAACGTGTACAGGGTCAATACCTGTGGTATAACGTACTGCCTGGTCTACGAGCTTGCAGCGTTGAAGCGGCGTGGGGGTGGCGCCATCGTCAATATTGCCAGCATTTCTGGGATGCGTCCAACACCTGGTCTCGGGGTTTACTCTGCCAGCAAGACGGCTGTGATCTCGCTCACCAATGTCGCCGCTGCAGAATATGGGCCTGACAATATCCGTGTCAACGCCATCAGTCCAGGCTATGTGGACACCCCTCTACTCGACCAACGATTGGATCGGAAATGGATTGCATCTATCACCCCGAGCAGGAGATGTGGCCAGCCTCAAGACCTGGCTGATGCTATCTGTTTCATGCTATCAGACGATGCCAGACAGGTCTCCGGCACGAATCTGCAGGTTGATGGAGGACTGATCGCTTCATTGTCGATAGTTCCTCCAGACCCGGAATGATGTGGCTTGGGGAGATCAGTGAATGGATGCAATGACAGATAACCTGAGGGGACAGACGGGGTAATCTTTTAGTCCGGAATCTCTTGTCAATGAAACGAGGCATTCAGCATCTCCGGGATTTTGTCTTTACATGCTTCTTTTGGCGTGACCTGGGTAGAACCTTCGTCGACTAGATTTGATAGCCAATGTTAGCTAAGGAGAGTACAAGATTCCACAAGCGCGTCCCCAACCATTTCAAAACATGGAAGTTGAGCCTGGCTCATAAAATGTCCCAAATATAAGGACAATTACTATTTAAGCGAACAAGGATTGTTGAAAATATAGCTTCTCGCATCCATCAGAAACATCCAGGGCGGTTATGACAGTGCTTTTTTCAGCCCGGCTAAACAGTCTTTCATAAAGGGCTCGTAAACCTTTTGAAGTTCAGGAATGGCCTCCACCGCCACCTCCTCAGCATCTGCTGTCCAAGCTATCGAAGTCTTGTTTTCCCCCTTGCTTTCCAGTTTCCAGCTCCCGAATCCGCCCTTGGCAGGTAAAGGAACAGGGTCGTTGATGCGATAGGAGATAAAATGCTCCTTATCGTCCAGAACTTCCAGAGTCTCTTTCACTTCCCCTGCTAGTCCTATGACTGTTCGAGTAGCGCCAACCCCGTGCCCGTCAACGGCGCAATACGTTATTGAGGGCATCCAAGCCTGTATCGCCCCAAAGCTAGAGACCAAGCTCCAGACTGCTTCAATAGGGAAATCCCAGACGACCCGTTCCTCATGTATCTTGGTCCTCTGTGTGGTCATATTGCTGCCTCAAATTGCTAAATGTCGCTCAGCGGGAAAATGAAGTGAGAGTGAAAAATCGTTTGGTTGTTAGAATGTTTGCTTGGTTCGTTGGTCGTTCACTGGTAAGGCGAGATAGTTCATGGGAACGATGGGGACCTTCATTTGAATAACCGCAACCTACGAGGCATGCATTTCCATCGACTCCTTCCGATTTAATGGAATCGGCCGCCCGCATGCTCTTAGCGTGGTACCCGAGCTCAACGACCAAGTGAAGAAACTCTACAGGCGGCCACAGGGCTTTCCCCCGAGTGGGGGAGGATATGGGGCGACGCTAGACTCTACCAGTGTTTCTGTCTGGCCGCCGGGAGACCCCTAGAGTTTCATGCTATCTTGTTCCTCCCCTCTCCCCCCGGAACAGTGCCTAAGTACTCGCACAAACAAACGGTAGGGGAGAGTCAACAACTTCAGGTAGCTATCGGTTTGCAACCTTGTAAAAGTGTTCTTGAACCTGATTTTTCTCCAAGGCAAGCATCATTTCCACTGTCCAGTCCTCGTGCGTATAACCCTCTGGCAAGTTCGTGGAGTTGAAGTCTTTGCCCTTCTCCAAGCTTTCGACCGCTGCATCGCACTGGTCATAGGCATATTGTCTGGCGTCATGCGCATACAACCACATAGGCTGCGGCATCTTTAGGTAATCTGGATTTGCCTTGACAGCATCCCAATCGGTCTGGTGCCATCGATGTCGCGTCTCCCAGCCCATTCGCTGTGTGAGACTGGTCCGTTCATATCTGTAGAGTGGTTAGACGTATAAATAGATAGAACTAGGTTGTGCAGGGCCGACCTTATTCGTTCAAAAACCTGGAAAGCCAGGGGTATCCGATCTTGACCGAGTTTATCCAGTAGAGCACCAAGCGTTCCGGCATCCTCAATTGCTTGCGCAGCGCCGGATCCCGAGGTGGGAAGATGGGGATGAGCCGCATCTCCTGCTATTGCAATGCGACCTTTGGACGAAACCCATTTCTTGATAGGATCACGCCACAGTAATTTCCAGTCAATGATATTCTCCTGTGGTATGGCACCAATAACGGCAGCAATGATCGGATCCCAACCCTCGGTTACTTTTAGCATATCCTGCCGATCTCCGGGGAAGGTCCAAGACTCTTCCATCTCATAAGTGTCCTTAGGTTGTTAGTAAAAGTAGTATGTTATCAGTATCCCCGCAGCGATAACGCTGGCGTACGAAGAAAGCCATCGAGGAGGGCTGAACTTACATGATGTGTAACGAAGACCACAGCGCCCCTTACAGCAATGGTGGTGAAAAGAATAACGTGAATGTCAGTGCCAATCCAGACGTAGAATTGATCAACCTTCGATTCCGTGAACCGCTTCGTCAGAGGGTGGTTTGCCAGACGATCGAGTGAAAACCATGATCGATACACAGCGAAACCGCTGGGGCGCGCCAGCTGTTGCGCGCCGGTCAGGTACTTCCTAGCTGCACTGTGAATGCCGTCGCAAGCAATGATTGCGTCCGCTCGGATGCGTTCATCTCCTACTATGATCCCAGCACCAGTGTCGTCTTCGAAGTATGATTTGACTCGAGAGCCGAAACGAAACTTGACGCCGATGGATTGAGCATACTCAAATACACTCTTTTGGATATATCCTCTGTTGGAGAACAGAACGGGATAGCCATCAAACTCACTTGGTAGAGGAGCGGTCAGCAATTCTACGCCATCTTTGTCGAACAGGGTCATTGTCGGAGGTTGTGCTGAGATTGCTTGAATCTCTTTCACAACATTGCCCCACCGCGCCATCACCCGGGTAGCATTTGATCCAATTTGTATCATATCGCCTGGCGATCACTGGCGTCAGTAACAGTAGCGGGCATTTATAGATGGCTTGAGCAGGGGAGAAAATTCGCACCCTGGGTGGAGAGTTGAGATACGGCTTCGACTACCTCGACTTCAAAACCTGCCTGAACAAGTTCAATTGCAGTAGCCAGACCAGCATATCCCGCTCCAATAACCAAAAGTCGCCCTCGAGGAACTGATTGACTGTCACAACTCAGACCCATGATGGTCTATTTCGAGACAACTGTTACGTCGTTTCGATTGAGGATGAGGAAACGTGACGTCTTCCGCAGCTTTTGGTTTGATTGATTTGGTCTTCATGTAGGACCAAATTCCAGATACCACGCATAATATCTCCATCTTGAACGACACTAGAGAGAAGTACAGATACAACGGTTGGAAGCTCCGGGCCCTGCTCCGGTGCCGAGCTTCTTCGAAAAACAGATTCCGGAGACATTTAACCGGGACCTGATTTCGGAGTATCAGCCAATTGAAGTTCGCTACAAAGCAGACTCCCCCGGTAAGCGACGGATTGTCTGTGGTGAGATGCATCCAGGCTCACTACTACGATTGTATGATGGCGTAGGATGTGTGAAGCAGAGGTCAACCCGATCAAAGCAAAAGGCTCCTCTATAGAACCGATGATCGAAATGGCGGGCGTAGGTCTATAGTAGTATGTGCACTCCCCTTCTCCTATATCTTTGCGCTTGAAAGTCTCTCGGATTTTGTGAGCGCCTTGAGGTCCACGAATTTCTCGTAGAATTTGAGACAGCCAGGATTTGCGACCGCCCCGGAAGGAATGACCTTGCGTCCCGAGACGATCTGCTTCACCACTAACTCGATCTTCTTTCCATTGACGGTATATGGTATTTCCGGCACTTCAAAGATATGCTTGGGCACATGACGCGGTGTCAATGCAGCTTGAATCCGACTCTTTGTTTTGGCAATGAGGGCCCTGGTTAGTGCTTGCCCTTTTTTCATCTTGACAAATAGCAACACGGTCTCGTCGTGATCAGCAGGCCGACGTTGACCAACACAGATCGTCTCTTCGAACTCGGGAATGCCAGATATAGCGTTATAGATCTCTGCAGAACCAAATCGAACCCCCGAAGGGTTTAGAACACCATCTCTGGGTAGATATTTTGTTAGTATAGTGTCCGCAAGGAACGAGATAAGAGGAATAACGAAGAGAAAGGTGGCACTCACGACCTGCCCAACATGGTGAATCCACCTGTGATTGGGGACATAGATACAAAGTCTCCTTGGTGCCAAATCCCTCGGCCGTAACGTGAGAAATATGAGTCCTCATAACGTTTATTGCCGTCACTGCCCCAGAATTTGACAGGCTGACTCGGGAATGGCATACGACACACAAGCTCACCGGGTTGTCCCTTCTGAGCCACCGAAATTGGTTTGTCGCTCTCCGAGTCGAGAATATCGATCGCCATCCCAAGAGCCGGCCTCTGTATCTCGCCTGCGTATTCAGGAGACGTTGGATCCCCGTTTACCACTGGTAGAAAGCTTCCAGATTAACTATCCATCGAGTATATCGTATGAACAATAAGATAAATACTCACAGGAGCCAGCTAGATCTGTTCCACCACTCCCAGATACGAGATGAACTTTAGAGGGGAACCCGCGATCGTGAAACCATTCACATACATCCGGCTGTAGAACTGAACCTGTAGATGAAACGGTGCGTAGTGATGAAAGATCGACTACTTCTCCTGAGAGTAAACAGATCAGTGTCAACGAAAACCTTGAGTGGCTTGCCACACCTACGAGGCTTTATCCCGGACAGCATGAGGTCTGATAAGAATCTCGCGGAAGTGCCAAACAATGTTATCCTTGGAATGTCAGCCAAACAATCTCGAGAGGACCAAAAATACCGACTTTAGCTTCTCGACCATTCGCAATGTCACCATAATGTCGGGAATTAACGGAGATCCGTCGTAGAGGACAGTCTTGCCACCGTATGATAAGCCGCATAGAACCATCAACCACATCACCCAACCCGTCTGAGGCGGTGATTAGTGCTGATGCGTCATATCTTTACGGGATCATATGAACCCATACCGTGGTATACTGATAGATTGTGTCTCCTTGACGAACATCAAGATTTAACATATAGTCCTTTTTGATCTTCATCAAAACGCCCTAAATCTGGTCTCAATTGACAGTAAAGCAATCGGGTTTGGGTGTACTGACCGCTGCACTATGAACAATGCATTTTGGTGTGCCCGTCTATTACATATTAGCTCGTCACCGTCAGAAATGAATGACATCCCGCTCACAGTTCCTGACGAGTAGACGATAAAGCCGGGGTGATTGAAAGGGACTTGCTCATAAATCAAGTCTCGCCCCGTCGCGCGAGCGTTGAACTGTTCCCAAGTCACCGTAGAGGATGGTGGTGACGAGAATCCTTGTCTCCGGATCAAAATCATCTCCTGGAAGCCAGCAATTTGACGTAGACCATCGAGGCATGCTTCAGCCTTGTCCATCAATGTACGAGTCTTCCCATTGTATCGTACCGAGCTCTCAATGATGGTGAATCTGGGCTCGATCTGTACTAGACGTTCCATGATGCCGGAGACGCCCATGTCGGGAGATGATGTTGAGAAAATGGCACCGATCGAAAGAACGGCCAGACAGGCCACGATTGCCTCCACACAATTCGAGATTACAGCAGCCACTCGGTCGCCCTTCTTCAAACCGCTGTTGCGCAAAGCATCTGCGAAGGTCTTTGTGCGGGTATACAGATCATCCCAATCAATCTCAGTGATCTCAGCCAGACCTTCGCTACAAGCATAGAGGGCAACTTGTCCTGGTGCTCTGTTCTGGAAAATGTGTTCGGCGAAATTCAAGGTGATATCTGGAAAGAACTGAGGAGGTGGAAACATAGATAGACCCTAAATAAACCTTGATCAGCAACCTCGACGATGGGCGGCTGAAACAATTATCTGTGGCCTTACCTTGCTGGCGAAAGCCCGTTCCGGGACGACTCTTGGGTTGAGCTTCTCGAATTCGAAGAGGTCAATCCAGAAGTTCTCGGCCGACTCTCGGCTTGTGGACCACTGATGAAGCTCATTGTAATCCTTCAAGGCCAATTTGTGTTTCGCATTCACCCAGTGTCGAAATTTGTCAAGATTGGTTGCTTCTTTGTCCGGAGGGATCCAGAGAGTTCGTGGCAGATGTGAAGTTGGGACGGCCATGACCGGCAAGGGAATTCCGTTGTTGAGAGAGCGCTCTAAGTCTCACCTGCAGGTGTTGGTTGCCGGGACCTAGATCTTTAAGTCTTCCCTTTTGACGCTGTAGGAGCCGGGCCGAACGGTGAGTGTTCCGGGCTTGAACAACTGAAATCGGTAGGCAGCCCCACGAAACCGGCCACTCAGCCTTCGTTTCTCTGGCGACCTACCGCCGCAATAGAAAAATTGTGCTGTGGATCACGTACATCACCATTAGCTTTTCAAGAGTGCTCGAAAAGTTCTCAAAATCGTCTCAAAGAAGTGTGGTTTGCACGCTCCCCACTCAAAGTGGAATTGTAAGGGAGGAAAGATCAGAATTGGATGAAGATGGTATGCCTTTGCACTCCTTTCATGTGTGGAGAGGGTCAGGCTGATCTCCCTTGAGAATATCCAAAGGTCAAATGCTCCAGCACTGCCCATTTTTTCCCCAAACTCCATGCTGGACCAGCCACAGCCGGAGCATTGCCACGACGGATTCGAGAGCCCGGATGGGAGTGCTGCCGCCGACATCATATTGTCTCAACCAGGTAAATGGAATTGCAAAAGCGCCGCGCAGCCGTCACGCTGAGAGACCGATAGGTGTAGATATGTCTACCTTCTTGTCATCGACGACAAACGACAGAAAGAACCACGATTCCTATTGTGCAGAGCTGTTAGAGTTCCATGCCCCTGTAGCTCCCAGCCCAAGAAACCTCGCAGCCGACGAAGCTCGCCTAGGAGGAATCGGGACAGCTATTTTGCCTCGACACGAGGAGAACGTTCTAGTTTCATTGTATTTTCGCCATGTGCATCATCTGTGTCCGGTCATTGACGAGAGTGACTTTGCCATACGATACACATTGCACCAACAGGGTGATTTGTCGGCCAGAATTGAAATGATACAGCTCCAGGCTATGATGTTCACAGCCATCGCGGTAAGCCAGTACTGACCGCTCGGGTATTGTATTTGACTGTGTCATTAGCATGCTACGGAGTTCCAGTTAAGACAGATGCCGTTCTCAACGGTGTTGGAGGGCCAGACCGCTCTCCTTGAGAATGTCAAGGTTCGAGGGTAAAGCCTTAATGAACGATTCTACGCTAACGTGCAAGGGAACAGCATCTTTACAATCACGATCATTCTGTCAGCCACGTCACTCGAACCACAGTATGTCTGTTATTAAGTTTTTGGAGTCCCTACAATTCCGACGCATGTGTCAATAGCTTCTGGCTTGATCGGGCGTTTTTCCATGCCCGAGAAGCCAGGCTCTGGGACCCCCTGTCCGACAGTGCAACTCCGCCTTCTCGCCGCAAGGTGATATGGTGGTGCTGCTTGGTTAGGGATCGGATCATTGGTATGGGCCTTCGTAGGCCTCATCGGCTTCACACGACTGCACACGAACGCACGTGGCCAATGGTGAGCATGGCTGATTTTGGCAGCGAAGTCATTTGTTCCCAATACATGGACCGAAGATCGAAACAATTGAGGATGAGTTCCTTCATCTGGCTCTGTCACTTGAGCATTCAGATTGTGTCTATCATCGAATTTCAGCGAGAGGCGATGTTTTCAAGAACATGGCGGACGGGACGTGAGAATGTCAGCTCTGTAACAAAAAGGATCGAAACTGTACTTGACATCAATCATCGACTAGATGTTCTAGAATTGCAATTCGAACTCGATGGCAACTTAACGCTGCGCGGTGGAGACCCTCAAGTTGATGTGGTGGCGGTCAAAACGCTGCAGGTGATGATCCAGTCCGTGAATCCGCCTTTGATTGTCGTTCGAGGTCACTAATTCAGAGACGGCTCAGATCGTTGATTATAATGCTATACCGACCGTTTGTCTCCATTCATCCACACGACTGTCCAGAAGAAATTACGTTCCGCTCAAGGTCGGTCCAGAAAATCGAGCTAGCAGCAGCAAAAGTGGGCGGAATATTTCATACTCTGCTCACACAGATTTCGATTGAAGCCATACCTCTCGCCATGTAAGCGTGCATCCCCTCGGCGCGAATAATTTGAGACTTGTCTGATACTTTATAGTGTTGCATGGATACACTTTCCTGTTGCAGTTTGCTTGTTCCACAGCTCCCTCGCCAAGGATCAGATGTCCCGGCTAGGTGCGCATCAACGGTCCAGCATAGTGACCGGTTTTCGGGCTTTAGCAGAGCGACACCCCGGCGCAGCAGCCACTGTCACCGCGATATGGACGACATTAGAGAACCTTCTCGGACGTGAAAGAAAGCATTCACAAGGACATAGCAGTGACTCAGGCGCTGATGGCTCACAGCTGACGGTAGAGAGAGATGCATCAAGGCTGGATGCTATAGGAACAGTAGTCGACCGGATCCTTGCGTTTGATCAACGAGAGATGTTCCTGCAAGAATAAATGTAGATATCGACGCCCAATATGCGGGCATAGCTTCGGGGTAACGATATTGACCCACAAAGATGTTCAGAGAACCTCTGTTCTTTTCGCGACGCCTCTTACGGGACATTTCCAGACGCTCATGTGTCTAACTGTCGGTGTCCTATTGCTGTCTATTAGAGCACGCTTGATATCTCTCAGCCTCTCGACTGCTGGTCAGCACTCAGCCAGGAGTGTGCACTAGCTTCAATGTCGTAGCCTTGCTTATGTAATATCTCATATCGCTGCCATCCTACTTGCCCGGACGTTTTGGATCGGCTTGACCCGGGATCCCGGACCAATCAATACAAGTTCCTTTGCCTTCTATTACCCGGTCGCTCTCTTTTGTTCTTGCATCAAAACCGTTGACAAGCAACAATGAGTCTCGATCAAGCGGTCTTTCTATCTTCGAAGCGGCCCTCGCACATGTGAATGGGAGCATATGTTTCAAAATGCCGTCGGCGATTGAGCACTGGATCGATTTACTTTTTCTACAGCGCGATCCAAGGGAATTGGCCATCAAAGTTGTCGGCTGCCTCGCGGTCGCTATACTGATATTACTTTTAGCCCGTGGGCTTTTGAGAGATGGAAACAGCAAATACTACCCAATCTGTAGTGTTAACCCTGTTTCGAAGGCAATAATCTTGCTGCTGACGATTGACAGCCCCGCCTGGTCTACCTATAATTGGTAATATTCATCAAATTCCACCTGTCAGAAGCTACCTGAAGTGAGCAGATACTACGCGCCCTTTCAGGGTCTTCATTCTTGAGAACTGATATCGAGTGCTACGATGAAGGTTAACAGAATGGTCTCGTCAATATGGCGGCATATATATGCTTCGATTTGCTTCCCGGAAAGCTTTCGTTCTGAGCGATCGACAAATCGTGAAGGATTTAATGGATAAAAGGAACAGTATCACGAGCAATCGTCCACCCGCGGAGATTCTAGAGAACTTGCTTTACGATGGCGACGAGATGCTACTATGGCAGCCTAACAATCCACGGTGGCGTACCGCGCGCAAATTTCTTCACCAAAATTTCATGAGCTCAATGGTTGAAAATACGCATATGCCACTCATCGACGCGGAAGCTACACAGCTGCTTAGGGATATCCTTGAGGACCCTCAAAACTTCCTCCAGCACTCGAAGCGTTTTGGCAACAGCTTCATGATGAGCGTTGGTACGTTGTCCGCGTGGGAGTCCTAGTGGTGGCCAGTCTTCAAAGCTCACAAAAATTGCTACCAGGATATGGAATCCGAACACCAACGGCGCAGACGCGGCACATGGTGCAGATTGGAAAGGTATTGGCAAAGACGACTGAACTGCTACAACCCGGTGGTTTGCCGCCTGTCGACCTGTTCCCTTTTCTACGCTGGGTTCCTCAACGATTCCTTGGATTTTGGAGGGACAAGGTAAGTCAAACGCGGAAGGAGATCAACGACCTCTATTTGGGATATTTCGACCTGGTCATTGCGCGTAGAGAGGCTCAAGGGCGCGTGGAGTGTTTTGCAGACCGTGTGATCGAGCAACAGAACAGTCTCCAGTGGAATCGCCACCAGCAGGCTTTCATGGCCGGTCTCTTAATGGAAGCAGGCTCCGACACGGTTGCTAGTGCTATGAATGCTTTTTTCAACCTGATATTGGCCAATCCCGAATGGGCCAAGAAGGCACAGAAACAAATTGACGGAGTCATTGGCGAAGATCGAGCTCCCACGCTCGCCGACCTTGAGAAGCTACCCATCGTCAATGCTATTATGAAGGAGACGCTGCGTTTAAAACCCATTGCCCCTGTTGGATTTCCTCATGCTTTGACAGAAGGTAAAGCTCCGCTGCATCAACCTGTCCTTTCGCTAATCAAGCATCAGACACCTGGGTCAATGGACATTTTTTGCCAAAGGGGAGCGACCTGATCGTCAATATCTATGCGATCCACAGAGACGAGAAGAGGTTCCCTAATCCAGAAGTATTCGACCCGGGTCGTTACCTAGACAAGCCTGCTCTTGCGGACGAGTATGCACACCTAGCGGATTACGAGGCTCGAGATCACTACAGCTACGGTGTCGGCCGCCGCCTGTGTCCAGGCATACACCTGGCTGAGCGTGCTCTCTTCACCACGATTGCCAAGAGCCTCTGGGCTTTTGATATCACTCCTCAGCTGGATAGCGACGGCCGACCTTATCCTGTAGACACCAGTAGCGAGACAGGCTATGCCGACGGCGTGGCGATCGGACCACTCCCATTTCCTTGCGAGATTAAAGTCCGATCCGAAAGGAGGGAGAAGACGATCCTGCAGGAATATGCGAACGCGGAAAGAACTGTCTTTCCCATCTACTCTGTCCCCAAGGAGTAGGTGTGCCCACGACCAAAACAAAAAGGTTGTTGAAGACGGAAAGTCAAGGATAGGGATCATCAAATGTTTCTCGCTTTCCATATCTGGAGTCGAGTAGTTCCGAGCTATAAAACCTTCAAATAGCGACCATGTGGCATCACCACATCGATCAACCGATCTGCGCGTGATCGCCGTTCCCATCTGAGCCAATTCACTTGACCGTAAATCATAAGGCTTGATCGGTGTTCGACTATCATCCATGATGCGTTCCTACCGGCAGACAGGGCGTGCGGTGTGTAGCCTGATGGTATCTTCAATATCCTTGAAATCTCTGAAGAGATTGTGTCTTACATATACCAAGTTGCCACCGGTAGATTGCCTGTGTATACCATAACGTACTTTATAGGCGAGCCGCCCGTAAAGTAAGCGGATTGGATGGTTCGCTTATGAAGTAAGTTTAACGTAGTCCAGGCACACCACCTCATTTCGGACCACTCGTTGCGGTTTCTTATTCTCACACCTGAATGCCGTTTTCGTACTCAACGGCAGCTTTAAGAGCAATGGCCCATCTCTCTTTCGCGTCCTTCTCGGCCCTCGGCAGCGGGCGTCGGGGCTGTCCTCCATAGTTGAAATATGACTCCAGCACACTCTTTACACTAGTGACTCCTCCCGCCACGAGAGTCCAATCTGCTGCGGAGAGTAGTCGCTGCAGCTTCTGAGCCTCATCAAACTTGCCAGCCTCGTATAGGTCGAACACTTTGACACATGATTTTGGTAGAACGTTGCCTAGCCCAACTATCACCCCCGTGCCACCCGCCGCCAGCGTTGGGACGATACAGTCGGCGAGACCAGCCATGGCATAAAACCCCGATCCGTTATGCTTCGACGTTGTTGCATCTACCTTGGTGGCGACACGATTGATCTTGCCCAAGTTCGCACAAGTGAATTTGCATCCAACGATATTGGGATGGCTAGAAAGGTCGATGATGAGGTCGGAGTCGAGATCGGTGCCCCCCACGACCGGGGGATAGTTGTACAGTATCACAGGAATCGGCGACTCGGACGCCACATCGGTGAAGAAGTTTGAGAGGCATTGACGAGTGTATGCCCCGCTAAAGTAACTGGGTGGCAAGATCAAAGCATAGTCCGCCCCAGCCTGGTCAGCCTGGCGGCACAGGTCCACCACCTCTCGCACAGATTGCGCTGAGCAATTGACGATTGTTGGCAACTCTCGAAAGCCAGATCCGTCCAGAACCTCGCGGATGGCGCTGATCAAGAGCGTCCTTTCCTTATAGGTGAGATGCGCCCCTTCGCCGTTCGACCCAGCGATGGTAACGCTGTTGATGCCGGCTTTTGCGAGACGTAAGACATGAAATTGCATGGCCACCACATCAATGTCTTCGGTTTCGGCGTCGAAGAGTGTCACCGTGGCGACGCTCACCCCTGGCTTCAACGACCGGCGTTTGTTCGTCATTGTCGAGAATCGGGCCTGCTGCCTCGAATACCAGACACGCTTTGTCGAGAAAGCAGTCGGTATATGCCAAGCTGAGAACAGCTTATCTTGGTGTTATAATGACATAAATGACTACATGTTGGATCTGACTTTCCAGCCAAATCCGCATTCAAAGTACTGCTCATCCCCATTTCTCATCGCAAAATTCGGAAATGACTCTCTTCCGAACGTAAAGAGTGACGTTCGCCCCCTCAACCCCCACCCCCCACCAAAGTGGACCATGGTCACGATCGCACATTTCAATCGACTCGAAACTTGAGGATCTCTATCTGGAGAGGGGCAAGTTTCTTTACTAGCACGCCTAAGTTGTTTTCAACTTTTACCAGCCACTCAAGTAGTCTTGATTGCTTGCTTAACTTTCTTGGTCGTGGTATATTTACTTTCTATGTGGACTATGATAATGGATGACCGGGCGTACATTGCTTTGGCTAAAAGATGCGGAGTATCGGCCTTCTATTAAGAGAATATCATCCCGTAATAACTTGTGCGTGATCAACGTGTACACAGTCCGTCTCCTAGACTCGCCACGATTCTCTTTCGACACACGTGATTTCCTAGTTGTCCTGAAGTGCTTTTATGAGTGGACTAGAGTCCTGTTGCGAATAGTCAACTCTTGCAAAATGCTTGGGAGAAACGAACGCACCGCCCAGATTGCGTATGATTTCAGCTGTGGTGAAGGCGAACTCGCGTCGGCAATCGTAAATCGGCCTGTAAACTCCCCAGCAACATGTTTGCCGTTCTTGAGGTCCATGGCAACATGGCCGATGAAGAGCAAATCAGTGCCTTCTTTGTCATGAGTATACACTCTGAGGACTCGATGCTGGCGTGCTGTGAACAATGTCCAGGCGTTGTCGCGACTTTTGCGAATCTCTGACTCAAAGTGTCAGCCCTTTGTCTATACAACCCTGATGGGCCGAAATGCGGTCATACGCTCGGACCCTTCGAAAGTGTGCATTCCAAACTGTGCCACTGCATCTTTGGCAAATACTTCATCAGCTAATATGTTGCCCACATCGGATCCAGTGTTGTCGAGCAGATTGAAAAACCTGTCAATGAGAGCCTTCACTGAGGGTGTCACATTGTCAGCGGGCCACTCGGTCCCCTCTGTGTTGTAACCCATCTCTGTGTATAAGGCTGGAAAGCAACCGGTTTGTTTTTTTTGCTGGCTGCTTCAGTTTCTCAGAGTTGGCAAAATAAAGTCTCCGTGGCGCGATTGGGAGGATCAAATACACTAAACCAGTCTGTGTCGGCGGACGTCTGCCCACTTGGCTCTCACTCTTCCGATTCGTCATTCGGCTTTTGCATAAGAAAGTTTTGTGGAGCATGAGGGAAGAGATGTCAGGTCCGATTGGTTACATCGCAATAGAAGGCCTTCATCCGGACGGGAATGTTGTTGATGTGCCACGAGCTTTCGGAGCAAGGCCCTCCATTGCGCGTCCCAAAATCCTAATAATCCATCACAGGAGAAGCCATGGAATAGAGTGGTGGCACCTGTCTGCTTGTTCTCCTCATTCGCGTTTCTTCGAATCTAACGCCACGATGACCATCGATTGGGATGCACCGACACCAAAGGTCCTGCCACCGGCGAAACTGGCGCATGTGGTTTTACGTACAAACAAGCTCGAGGAGATGGTCAATTTCTACAAGACCTTCCTGGGTGCCGAAGCGATGTACGAAAACGAAGTTTTGGCTTTCTTGACCTACGACGACGAGCATCATCGCATTGCATTAATACAAGTTCCGGGCACCAAAGACAAAGACCGCCAGTCCTGCGGCCTTGAGCACATCGCCTTTGCCTATGAGTCGTTGACTGATCTGCTGCTGGCTTACAGACAACGCAAGGTGAGATCGATCAATCCATTCTGGCCGGTGAACCATGGCCCCACCACCTCGATCTACTACAAAGATCCGGATGGCAATATGCTCGAAACGCAAGTGGACAACTTTGACGATGCCGACTCGGCCACAAAATTTATGAAGTCCCCGGCCTTCGCCGAAAATCCGATTGGGGTAGACTTTGACCCGGAAGAGTTTATCGATCGCTTATCAGCCGGCGAGAGCGAGGCAGAGCTGAAGAAAAGGAAAGAAATCGGCCCCAGAGGCATCCCAGAATTTGCCTGAGTAAGCTTTGGACAATCTCTTCCCAAGAATCGGGCCACAAGATCTTCAATGGTCGAACAGAGATGTCTAGTCTATTGGGGAATATAAGGAGAGAAGGCTTTGCGCCTGCAAACTTCCTGCTCCAGGTGGAAGTGAAGGAGGGCCTAAGGTTGAGGTCTGATGTACTGTTCAATGCCATCGTGAAGCCAAATACACTGCCTGAGATAATCTATTCAGAATTGCACTTGTTGTCAGCGCCCGCTTCTGCCACTGATCTAAAATTGCGATATAGGTGACATCTACGTGCCATGTATGGTGCTATTTCCCGTATCCCCATTCTTGCTGAGACTGCAGCAATGTAGAAATGATTGACTGGCACCGTGAATAGACCGGGTTTGCTATACTGGGGAGACCTGCGATCTTTCTCGCAGGGCAAACAACCAAGTACCCCTATCTCTCGAAGACCATCTTGTTTCGCATAGTCCCCACATTTTCAAGCTCCATCTCGACAACATCCCCATCTTGGAGCCATGCTGGCGGTTTCATGAATGCGGCAACGCCGCTTGGGGTTCCAGTCATGATGACAGTGCCTTTGCGGATCGTCATGCCACGACTAAAGTGGCGGATAATGGTCGGAATGTCGAAGATCAAATCATCCGTCTGTGTGATCTGCCTCTGTTGTCCGTTTACGATGCTGCGCATCTTCAGCTTTGTCGGATCGGGAATCAGACTAGGTGAAGTGATAACTGGACCGATCGGCGCAAACTTATCAAAGGATTTTGCTGCAGATGGTTGATTGCTCGATCGTTCCGGCATCTGCCACCATCTCGATGAAACATCATTGCCAACGGTATAGCCGAGAATATATTGGGTTACATCCTCATCTTCACGGATATTCTTGCAGTCTTTGCCAATTACCACACATAGTTCGACCTGAGCACTGTTGTGAGCGGGAATTCTATGACAGCCTTTCGCAAATGAGAACGAAACTTACTTCGTAGTCCATCCACTGGCAGGCTGGATTGATAGGTATATCATCGTATGGTCCGGCCAACGCATCTTTGTGCACATCAATAACAGCATCGGGAGTTCGCAAAGTTTTTCTAGCGTACCTGCGGGCTTGTAGAAAGTTTGTGGGTCGTCTCCAACTTTCATCTGGATGCCCAGTTAACGCACGGAGTGAATTCTTAAAAAGCAGTCAACTAATGAACCTACATTTCCCTCTTCTGCGTGCTTCTTGTAATTGAGCCCAATGCACAAAAAGATTGGCACCCGCGCAAGGGGCGCCAGGACCTGGAAGAATGCTTATTAGATGTTTCGGACTTGGGAGTACAAAAAAAAAAGCGTACTTCTGACACCGTTTCCTCGCGGCCTGAGAGCTTGAAATCTGCCGCCCATGGGTCTTCTCCATCGTACACGGGAACAGTCGCTCCGATAATAGTATCATAGGTGATTTTATCAAGAGATTTGACTTCTCCGTAAAGAATCTGGCCGGAAACGTTCTTGAAACGCAACAATTTCCCAAAGGATGCCATGCTTGTACGATGCAGAACGAAATTTGTCGAAGTTGGTACAGTATGACAGGTCCGGAGTGGTTTGGCCGTAGATCGGTGCCGGGCTATATGTGAGGGCATCTCGGAATGTCATCGCTCCCGGCCTTATTGACAACGATTTCCGCCTTCGGGAGCTCGCCCGGTGCCAGTCGGAGATAGCTGCATTTGTTGTGGTGCGTGACTGACTTACTGGATAACTAATGGGCACTCACATCTTACAGCACGGCATGGTACCGCTCTGTTTCGCACGATTCTCAGGGTCAGTGAAATCCGCAAATTCTCTCCTGCTTTTTTAAACAGGTCTTCGTAAAGTACCTCAGCACCACCATTACACAGGACAAACATTATGAAAATTCAGAGGTATCCGTCAAATGGGATAAAATGTTCAAAAAATTCGGATATTTGGAGGGTGAGGATTAATGGATCAAAGCTGAGTGCTGTTTAAGCACGTTCGGAGGTTAAAAGGGCAAGCATTAAAGTGAGGCCAGATAAATGTAAACAAAAACAACATTCAGCTACCCTCGCCAAACCACAAATCCGACTGACTGAGTCATTGCATATCGAGTACATATAAACTCATAATTGCCCAGCAATATGAAGTCCAGCCCGATAGCCAAAAACCATCCCGGGCCCCAACGTACATCCGCCGCCGGGGTAGAAGCCTTTCATTGGATTGTTCATGTCGGCTCCCACGGCATACAACCCTGGTACAGCTTTGCCGGAGTCACCCAAGACTTGAGCATTGATATTTGTCTCCAGACCATACATTGTCGACACGTTGCCGGGATAAAGAGGGAGGGCGTAGAACGGAGGCCTTTTCAGTGGCCCTAGGCAAGGGTTTGGCTTGTTTAATGCATCCCCATACGCCTGATCGTAGATTGCCTCCCCCCGGTGAAAGTCAGGGTCTCGTCCTTCCCGGGCATAACCATTGAACTTTTCCACCGTTGCGGCGAGATTCTCCTCATTGATTCGCAATTTGCGTGCAAGTTCGCGAATGGTGGGGGCGCTCACAAGGTAGTGGCGCATCAAGTATCTGCTGACGGGATATGGAAAAGGAAGTACCAGGCCCATGCCATAACGCCGGAGGAAGACCGAGTCCCCAATGATGAAATGCTTCTGGACTCCCGCCGCGTGGGTGTCATGGCCAAAGGGTTGATATGGTGCCGACTCGTTGGCAAACCGGAGGCCATCGCCGTCAACCAGAATGCACCTCGGTTTCGAGCGGTCAAGGGCTTGATGCGGGAAATGTCGGATCTGTCCTTTTGGGCCGTGAAGCTCAGATATGGGAGCCCACAAACCGTTATCTTTATTGGGGGCTGGCAGGTGGCCTCCGCTGGCAATACCAAGACCGATTCCATCCCCGGTGTTGCCTCTCGGCGCTGCGGTATAGTCGCTGAAGGGCAAGTATTTGCGGCTGAGAGACGCAGAGCGCGCAAAGCCGCCAGTAGCAAGGACAACGCCTCTCTTTGCCTGGATGCGCAGGTCTCGGCCCTCTTGACGTACGACCAGACCAGCGACTCGACCCTGGTCTAAGATAGGCTCAACAGCGGGTGTGTTTGACCACAAGGTAATTCCAGTCTTCGTTGCCGACTCCAGAAGACGACCAACCAGCGCATTACCGTTGCACAAATCCGTTCCTTTACCATAGAAAATCAAGTCGGTACCGTATCGCAGAAGACTGGAGGACACAAACTTCATGTTCCTCCAGCTTGCCCACGGCTTTTGCCACGTCCCAATTTCTCCGAGCGGTGTCTGCATCGACCCAAAAGCGCTCATGCCCTGAAGCGGGTATCGAACCTGGCGCACAAGTCTCTTCAAACGCCGCCCATCGTAGGGTCGTGTCATAACCGTCCGTCCGTAGGTGGCTCCCTTGCGATCCATGTGATAATCGGGAAATGGTAGCCCAAAAAACTTGACCTCCGAATTGCCTTCCATCCAGCGAACCATTTCCGGAGAAGAGTCCAAATACGCAGAGATCAAGTCTTCTTGGTAGGAGTCCCCGAGACATTGACGTATGTACTCTTCGCTCTGTTGTCTCGTGTCAGGCATGCCAATTGCCTCCATATGGGGGTTGCCAGGAAGCCACAGGCCCCCACCAGAATAGGCTGAGGTTCCCCCATACAGAGCGGTCTTTTCGGTGACGAGCACGCGACAGTGTCCCCGAGCAGCAGCGACAAAGCCTGCGGTCAGTCCTGCCGCCCCGGATCCGACGACGATGACATCGAAGCTCTCATCGTAATGACTAGGCTTCTTCTGCGACCAGTTAGTGCCGCCTATTATCTCAGGATAAACTGGGCCAAGTATGGCTCTGCACCTGATGAACCGTTGCGTATTGTCTGTTACACGCGCGTACGATCTGTTGGGGATTATTCCGAAGCCGACACGTGCGCAGACTCGTGCCAGTGCAGAGACTTGAGCATTGCGAAATCTTTCTTAGCAAAAGATCTTTCATGTTCGGTCCCACGGGGAGGCGGTATAATGGAGATTGCAGCCTTGAGATGCCCTGCGCGTTACACCATCTCCTTCAACACACCGGGACTGAGAAGTAGGCAGGTATCGGCTGAGCCGACCTCTTCGGTCGGGCCACCTCTTCGGAGGCTGAACTAGCTAGACAAGAACTCCTTGGGGAATGAACTCCGGAATGCCTTACCTTTACCTTCGGCGCTATTCACCGAGCCGCCATGACGCCCGTCGGAGGCCAGGGTCGCGTGGCGTCACTATTTACAGTACATTGATTGTTCTGGTCTATTACGAGACGAGGGGTACAAATATCTGGCGAATCCTGGTCTTTTGTGTTTCTATAACGATGTGTTCGTGCAACAACAATGCAGATTTCTACTACATTTTCTTCCCTCGGTGTGAAAACATACCGGGAGCAATTCTCTACTCATACTATGCTGTCCATCTCAGGTAAATCATTCACATCAGGCCAACCAATCAGGGTCGCCCATTGTTCGTTGTCACCCATATCGAGGGTGATACCATCCAACAAAGCCTGTTATCGTGGGATTAGCTTGATGACGCTCAATATTATGCCAATGGTGCCTCGACAGTCTTCCACTCGGCTCCTCGACTTACATCGTTGAAAGTGACTAGGTCGGTCCGATCCTTGCACCCGTCGGCATGAGAAATGTCCAGCTGCATTCTCTCATCAACAGGCTCTAGGTCGCGCTTTCTGGCGTTGGTGACCGCTAGCCGGGCGAGATTTGCGATCTGCCCGACGAAAGGATATGAACGGTTCGCGGTGGCGAATTCAAGGTAGCTAAAATGCCCGGCCACCTGATGCATTAGAACAATGTCCGACTCGGCCGTCGGGGATTGCGGATACTGTAAAATGCAGATAAAGAGATTGGTGACCGCATACAACGGCGCGACGAATGCAAACCTGGCATGATTGTTTAGTTTGTTGGTCATGATTCAATGCGTGATGAAGACCACTTGCCATTTGGGAGTTAGCGCATTCATGTCCACTTGTGGAAGGTTGTGGATGAATCGTCGGGTAGCTTTGAGATATAAGTCCATGCTGGCACTAGCCAACGCCGCGAACTCTTCCTTTTGGTCGGATTCGATTTTGAGGATTATCGAATTCCATGGATGTACCAGGATAGAGTGGATGGCGACGAGGCTGCTGTAGTGAGCGTAGTGGAGGTAGGCGACATGGAGGAATAAGACGTTTGGGGGCAGCGGCGCTGAGGCGTTAAGGTCTTTCTTGACAAATTCTGGGAGGCCGTTCCACCAGTCATCCAGCTGCTGACTCAGATCCGCAATGGTCTCACTTATTCTCTGAAGACTGACTTCCTCCGCTTGCTTAAGCGCTCCGATCCTTCGGGAAATGAGCCCAGACAGCCTGGAATGGGTCATCGCTGCCAATAACAATTCGAAGTTCATTCTACTGTCGGCTGGCGCTTCATTCGGCAGCTGGCACGTGATGTCTTCATCGCTGATGGACTGGAACGATGGCTATAGTCAGACACCAATGTTAGAACAGGCTGACGGTGTGCCCCTTACCAATGGTCGGCCTGAACGGCTTGCGTTCATTCGCTCATATCCATACAATGTCCACCAGAGGAAGCTTCGAGATTGAATGGCGGGTTTGCTAAGATTCCAGGCCGCGGCCGGCTGCCTGTGGAGGCCTTTAGCTTGCGCCAGTTTCATGGCACAGGAGCACAACATGTAGTCGATGGAAGGACAGCCGATAGCCTCAACGAACACTGCCTACTTGTAGTTCAGTAAATTCTTCACGCCCTTGAATTTGAGTATAGCTTACCATCATGGCTAGAGCTTGGACCGCCATCAGGCTTGTCTTGAAGTACAATAAGTCTGTATGAACCGAAAGCGCGTTCAAAAAGTAGCTCCAGCTCAATGGTGAGATGACACTCTTTTTTGAGCTTTTGGACATGGTCTTCATGTCCACGATACGACAACCAGCAGCGTAGACCGTATTTCTGAGAGCATACCACGCCGGATCAGATTCCGCCTCTGAAGTGCCATCTTTCTTCAGATGCGCGCGTAGTAAAGGTTCGAACGTTGACCGATTTATGAGACCATATCTCGCATCCGGGTCTTCTTCAAAATATACTTTGGTGTACTCCCATGCCTTCTGTTCCTCTGGCTCTGGGGCGCGCGTAGTTGATGAAGTAGAAGACGAAGACAATTTCAGTGCTCGAGAGACATCTGACGCCAAGTTCTGTGCGATTTGCCCAAAGTCTGGCACTCCAGTCTTCTCTGCCACCCACTCTATTCCCGACTTTGAGCAGATGGAGAGAAAGGAGCCGGGCCCTAAAGTTGAAATCAGTACTTCATCAGTGTTGATGATCAATAGGCGGGCCACCGACCATGATACTCGAATGTTAACTAGGCGAATGCACGTGTGAGTCTGTGAAAAGGCAAGGCTTTTGAGGGGATCAAAGCTTACCTCCTCCTCTGGCGGACAAGTGCTGCTGCCGTCATCTTCACGTGCACTGTCTTGCAACAATTTCATAGGGCTGCTTTGACTAGGTGGCGTATACATCCCATGATCCAATAGAATAGCTGTACGATCAGCCGGTGTTGGCGCCAATGATGGAAGTGCCATGTTTAGTATCGGTTCCTTTGTAGGCTGCAGAGCGGAGGCGGCTGTCGCCGGGTTGACAGCGTCATACCCTCTGATCCTTGGTACCTCGTTGATGATGGAAGGAGAATGTAGAGGGTCCTCGGTTGAAGTAATAGGCTTCATTTGGAAGGTGAAAGAACGAAAACGGCCCTGCGATTCACATGGTGGTATCGTGCTTCCGGCCTCCTGTGATGGATATTCGACGGTGGTCTTTGCTGTCGGCGCGGCTAGCATAGCCTCAACCCTGCTCATACGGTCTTGTAGCGCCCTGTAGTCCTTGGGGCTGTGATCACGTCGGCGCGCGCCGGCTGAATAGTCGCAAGAGACACGGTGGTCCTGTATGTGGTGTGGTTGAGCAAAGAAAACTGAGCAGACTGTGTCTGATTGAGCTTACTGCACAGTTCGGACACGGATGACCACCGTTGCCTAACAATTCGCAGGGAACGATCAGTGTCAACTGTGCCATCGACTTCGGAGGCCTGGTGGCGTACATTTGATTTTCTTCGCTCTACAAAAATTACAAGCCAGCGATGACTTGTGGCCCTGTCTTCTCTCGCGATGAGACGACGCGGGTATTGGCCCGGTTTTGGGCTGCATGATATTCAACGATCAATAAATTAGACGCAGGTGGAACAATAGCAGTAACGTTGCGCAGAGACTAATGGGCTCAACTCTGGGGTGAGGAGGATTCGAAGCGTCGAGTGGGCGGCAGACGCCCTTTAGAGGAGCAGCATCTGGGGCGTGGGGTCTGGGGATCCCCAGATTTGACTCTTTCTTGGCTAGAATCTAGAAAGAGGTTGTAACTAGAATGATCCAGGTTGCAGACCTCGAGCACCCAAGAGACGAATCACACCCCCAGCCAGTGCCAGCTTCGTTTGAGCTAAGAGACAAAATGCCTCCGCAACATGGGATCCGAGGTATCGGTCTCGCTTGCTGATCTTAGTTACGATTCGTCGCTGTGGTCGTAAGTTCCCACTCGGCCTCGGCATGCTAAGTAAACGTACTTCAAAATTATGCAGTTGTTCTGTTTCGCCCAGAACGCTGTCACTTAAACCAGCAGCGCTTCCTCCATCGACGACTACGGAGGCGGGCGGCACCAGAGTGGGGTAGATGCAACTATGATGGTGCGAACCATTGAATGGATTTTTGGATTTCATTCCCGGTACTGGGTATTCTTCAGAGTGGGAATGAGCCCCATGATGGCATGTTTGACGCTTTACCCTTTCCTTTCGGCGTCTCCCCCGAACTCCCGAACTTCGAGCCTTGGCGGCAAGCCCTACGGTCCAACGTCTCAAGTCTGGAATCCGCCCATCTTTTCAAGCTCGAACTGGGCGGTTTGGGTGTCCAGTCCTGTAGTCGAGGTAAATGCGAAAACCCCGCCAGCTTGTTCCATGACCAATTCGACCGCTCCTGCTCTTTGGGAAACACTGTCCGTCTCCTTGCGCCCCGAGATGATAGCCATAATCTCCGTAGCAGCCGTGACATTGTCCACCTTGTCGGCTCGCCAGGCCACGTGGCCGTCAGGACGAACCAGCACAAGGTTGCGCTCGTAGATGGTTCTTGCATGTTTCTCATCGACGAGGGCCAGATGTTTCATAGGAACCCTGTTGCGCCATGCAGCTTCCACCAGATGTCTGGCACCGTGGTCCTCGCCAGAACAAAATTCAACCAATGTGTAGTGACGGCCGAATTCGTCAATGATGGAGGTACCGTCCCGGAGAAATACATGGGGTGCCCGACATCCTGGGAACGTGGTGGGCGAGTATGTCGACGGCTCCCACGCTGGTGCCGGTGTGCCATCCGGGATGATGATGCTGGAGGTGTATCGATATCCCATCTCAATGCCAAGGTCGGTGTTTTCGCCATCGTGGGTTTTGTAATGCTCATGGACAATGCGCCTGAGTCGTCGGCCTTCCTCGGTATCTGCATCCAGCTCTCGAACTTTACCCTCGACCAATCCAGGAACCTCCATGTGGACTTTCATGTGTACCCCGGAGCGCTCGATGCTGGTCATCGCTATCGGCCGCCGCTCTTGTTCGTAAGTGTTCAGAATGGAAGGTTTTGCGTGGCCATTAACAACGGCGGCCAGTTTCCAGCCGAGCTCGAAAGCATCCGCAATGCCCATATTCATGCCTGTAATAGAGAGTCAGTAACTTGTCGGATGGTTGTGCTTCACGCAGCCTCACCGTAACCCCCGGTTGGAATATTCTGATGGGCTGCATCGCCAGCGAGATATACATGCCCATTGCAGCCCGAATAACTTCGAGATATGGCGATGTTTGGCCGGTATGTCGATCGAACAAGAACCTCGTCGATTTTGATCGGATATGGGCCGTATAGGGCTCCCAAGGCTTTGTAGACTGCTTCTTCGGATCCAATCCCTTCGCAATCCTGGTCCATTGGTAGCAGAAGATGAGTAGTGAAGATGTCCTTCTCATTCTGGGCAATTATGGAAGAGCCCAGGCCTGTTTCTCCCACGAAGAAGATATGCCAAAATCGTCCATGTTTGTGAAGGCGAGTCAGATCTCGAGACTTGAAGTGGACCAAAAGAACGTAGACTGGCCTGAAGGCGAATAACGCGGTCAGAATTGTCTGCATTGCACTGAGAGATGACTTACATTGGGCCCCCATCGAGCGGTATTCCCAGACTTCGGCGCACCCTACTTGAGCCCCCATCACAGCCACCGAGGTATTTTGACACAATCTGACCCTGTTTTCCCGTCAAGACATCAGTCGTAGTCACTCGCACCCCATCACCAAGATCCTCGACACGGTCGACTTTGCAACCAAATCGAAGATCAATGAGCGGGTTTTTGTCGCAGATGCTTTTGAGCCACTTCTCGAACACGGCCTGAGAAATCCTTTGCCATGGCTCCAACGGCATGGACCCGTCATTCTTTGATGCTATTCTGGTCCTATACTGGTCCACCGTGCCATGCTGCCATTCGGTAATTGGACCCGGGCCCCCTAAGCCCGTTGAGATGAGGACGGCGTAGGGTAGATGAGAAGGGACACCTGTTTGGTCAGTCTTCAAGGAGCAAGATATTCACAAGTGTCTGATTTCACCTTGCTTTCGCAACTCGTCTGCAAGCCCAAGTTTACGGAAAAGCTCCATAGACCTAACGTTGGTCAAATCCATTTTCGGCCATCTACAAGCAAACAAAACGGTTAGACCCACGCCGGTTTATCGGAATTGTGTAAGAGTGCATCAAACCTTGTAGTTGTTGCGTTTCTTTCCAGAACTACGCTTTTCACCCCGTAAGATGCAAGGACCGTGGCAAGCGTCAAGCCCACGGGTCCGCCTCCAGCAATCAAAATGGTGCTGTCTGGGATGACCTCGACGTCAGGAATATGAGTCGAGGCTTCATCGGATACCTCGATATGACCGTTCATTCTGAAGGGTGTAAGCTCTATAAGGGCAACTTGTTGTGAGAGTGACCAAGACACGTAAATCTAAAGGGAGGCTACCGCGTACAAATGACAACCACGGCAACGTTTTCTCGAAATGTGAATGGAAGTACAAAATTCACAGTTCGAGAACTCGAAGTACTGTCATAATTGGCCTTCGGCCACCCGGAGGGGACCATATCAACCGAGGCCAGCTTATACAGTCCATTCAGGTCCCGAACAAAGAGGACGTAGCGCTGCATGGCCGTGGAGGGCCAGGCGGAAGCAAGCCTGACCACCGAAAGCCCACAATCGATATGATCCAAGCCTCTCCACCTGATGCTACTCTCACGAAACAAGCCATTTGAATTTCGGTCACTCCACTCGATGACTGCCGCGTTCATCCTTGTACACAGGTACGCGACATTTTACAGGTGGGCTTTAAGAGACCGGAACAGAGACAGCTGTATTGTGAGCTTAAGTCCATTTGCAATCCTCAACTAAGTTTTTCTATGTGTGAAACTGTCTATTTGGCGCCAAAAACCTTGAGTCGCTCTTCCATCGGCATGAAGGTTTTCTCCAGAGGTTGGCCCGTCGGCTTTCCGAACACCAGCTGAGCTTTGAGTTGCCAATCCTCAGGAATCTTCCACTGCTTACAGATACCTTCATCTATGAGCGGGTTGTAATGCTGTAGGCTTGCCCCGAGGCCTTCTTGTTCCAGCGCTGTCCACACTATAAACAATGTTATATCCGCTCCGTTGGCAAAATTACATGGCAAGGGACGGGGTTTGGGTGAACTTACGGACGTGGGCGTGCATTGCGTTGGTGTGTTCAGACCATTGCGGGAATTTGTCTGCAAATATTGCGTATTGCGCTTGTAATGCCGAAACGACCTTGGGATCTTCATATAACAGGACCTACAATGTCCTTTTGGTGAGTTTGCGGGCAAGAAAATTTTACCGGAGCCTGTCACGTCATGTCCTTTCTCCAAAAAAAGCTTACAGTTCCATAAGACTGTTGGAAGCCAGTCAACTTTGCCTCCGTAGCGGGCCACCCTTCAGCGGGCATGATGGCTTTCACGGCCGGCTTGACGATATCATTCCAGAGTCGCGCATGCTCTGCCCCTAGTAGAAGCACAAGCCTGGTTGATTGGGAGTTGAAGGTGCTGGGTGTGTGCCGAAGAGTCTCTTCGACGATCTCTTGGATTTTGGCATCCGGAATAGTCGACCGTGCTTCTAACTCGTAATAGCTTCTTCTGCTTCTTACTGCTGCAAGGTACGCATCGGAGCCCATCGCGGCGAAGTGTTTTCTGTTGAAATCCCGTGATCAGAATAGAGGTAATGAGAAATGCTTAAGGCGAAAAGCCTGACTTACGATTGAAGAACGATGTTATGAATAGTTACAAGCGACCTTTCATCATTGAACTAACCTAATTGTACTTCTAGAGCCTTCGGATAATCACACAGCCACGGTGTTGCTCTTGTTACTATCCTCCCCGATGCATTTGTTCGGAAGTTTGTCCTCCGGCCGCCGGTTGACTCGAGGGTCTGGATCGGCATAGAGAGGATCCTCAACTAAATACTTGTGAAACCACTTGGATGCTACTCGTCAGTCGAGCACTAGCATTCGTAATTGCACGCGGGGACCCTACCCGTCGACAATCATGCCCGCGCCTGTCATGTAGCTGCTCATTGGCGATGCCAGGAAGCAAATTGCCTCAGCTATCTCACTGGGCTCACCAAATCGCCCCATCGGAACCTTCAACTTTTCAAGCTGAACTGCTTCACTAGCTTCTGCGGCCGCCTTTATGGCCGGTGTATTGACGTAGCTTTGCAAAAATCAGAGTAAGCTCGCTTCCGCAAACCTAACGGTTCGGACGAGTATGAAAACATACCCTGGACATACGGCATTGATCCGAATGCCGTCTTTGGCAAAACTATTCGAGTCCTTCATCGAACTTAGAACTATAGTCTAGAAGGAAGTGAGACAACCTGCCTGTTTCGTGATTCCCAGAATTCCGTGCTTGCTGCAACACTGATCAGTCGAAGTTCCAAGAACAGACAACCACAGCATCAGGAATGCTTCCGGACCAACTGCTCACCTAGAAACGTAAGCGGGGACTGGAGTCGTCCCGGCCGCAGAGACGTATCCGAAAGTTGAGGATAGATTGACAATGGTGCCCCTGACAGGCGTTCCAGTCCTGTCTGGCCAGTCAGAACAGCCAGTTTTCAAGACGTTAGGGTTCAGAGGATTAGAGACCACAGTTGCTGAGGTTCTTGTTTGAGCATTTGGCGAATGACCTCTCTTTGGCCGATCCAAAGCCCAATCAAATTGACATCAATAACCTTATGAAAGTCTTGAACGGATGTTTCTGTCGAGGGTAATATCGATCCACCGATGCCAGCGTTGTTGACGGCAATGTCGATTCTCCCGAAGCGATCGATGACTTGTTGCACGGCCTGCACCACTGATGACTCGTTCGCCATGTCGGTGGAGATCTCCATGATGTCCACCTCCTTGATAGTCCTGATCAACTTGCTTGTCTGGCTCATACCTGCAGTGTCAATGTCCAATATTGCGACACGGTCTACTCCATGCCGAACAAGTGCAATACACGTCGCTTGCCCGATGCCTACGAACTCTTGAGCCTGGCCGCACATATATTCAGTGGTGTAGTAAACTTACCAGAGCCGCCGCCGGTAACGAGGGCCACGCCTTGGAGTAAATCGGTCATTATGGCGGTGCTGCTGAGAGGATCAAGCTCGGGAGGTTGGTAGTATCTTTGTTCCTTTAATGTAAGAAGAAGTGGTGCATTGGCGGATTCTATACCATGTACGCCGTAAGCCCCACGCTCACCGGAGTAAGATTCCTCTCTCCGCTCCGATTCGGACTGAGCGGCTTTTCACCCATTAGATCGTATTCCACACGCGATTGCGCTCCTGATTAGCTTCCATAAAGGAACCTCAACTAATCGCACAATAATCTCCACGGTATATCATTTGCTTCGCCAAGTTGGCACAAATTTATCGACATTGACTAACTTTGACGGAGCAATAACAAAAGTCGAGCCTTGGAGCTCTGTGCTTGTCACAACCAGACTGTGTTTTCTTGTGAGTCCGACAGCTACAACCCGTTCGGCTCCTTGAATGCACCAAAACCCCATTGATGCATCCATAGCTCCATCCACTCTGGCTTCACCGCATCAACATCTCGCAGCGTTTTGCTGGCCTCTTGTGCCTTGGCAGTTGCCCACCTGGTGACAGAACCGCTCCCTGCATCAGCCACACCTCGGAAGAAGTCCAACAACTTTACCCCGCGGTTTCGTTGCAACTCTTCGTCAGTTTCCAAGGTGGATTCGACCTTAATCAGAGACTCCAGCCACTCCTCGTAGCTGACGAGCTTGATCTCATGCCCCGTGGAGCGAGTTAGAACCTTCTGGATCGTTGGCACAAGTTTCTCCCAAGCTTCCTGGCGAGGATTGACCAAGTTATAGACTGGTATCCTTGCTCTTTTCTCCCGGCGGTGGTGCATTAAGTCGATGATCACATCTGCGACCGCGTCAATTGGAATCCAATCAATAACTCCCAAGTCCTTAATGTCCACAGGTAGCATTCCCAGCTGACCGGAGCAGCTGATAAGCGTTGGTAGCCATTCCTGTTCGTTCCATCTCCCTTTCTGCGAGCGAATGGGTCCAGCGATCTGTCCGACGCGAAGAATACAAGCGTCGATTCCTACATGGGTCCACGCAGACTCGAGTAATTTCTCAGCCACGTATTTGGACTCGGGATATCCCCCAAACTCAACTGCATCCACGTCTGGAACTACCTCCTCAGGCGCAGGACCATTGTTGCCTGCCAACCACCAGCGGCGTGCTGTTCCGACGCTGGACGTGAAGAAGAGGCTGGGTCGGAGTGCCGATTTCCGCGCAAATGCAATCAAGTGCCGAACGCCCGAGATATTGTTGTCAAACGACGATAGTGTGCGATTAAAATTAACTGCCCAAGCGTTGTCGATGATGTCTGTGACAATGGTGGAGAGTTTGGTGTAGGTGTCCGGATCAAGGCCCAAATCCTCTCGGGAGACGTCATATCGTAAGAAGACTACTCTCGCAGGATCAAACTGTCCGGAAAGGCCACGCATCGAGCTACCGGCAGCCTGTCGATCGGCCGCGTCGCTCGTTCTATTGAAACAATAAATTCGTTCCACTCTGGAGTCACTTATCAATGCTTCAAGGAGATATGAGCCGAGACTTCCGGTAGAGCCTGTAAGCACAACAACCCTCTTGTGGTCGAGCGCAAAGTCAGGCATGTGTCTGGCAATAGCAGCGTGGATGCTTTCCGAACGTTTCTTGGCAAAGTCTTTGGGAATAGTGTGGCCCTCCGCTCTGGTGATTGCGAGAAGAGCTGATGATAGCCGAGCAATGGTGGAGTTTTCGTAGATGAGCGATGGCATGATGGACCGGTCTTTGACATTTTTGTTATTGAGTGCTGCGGTGAGCAAGCGGGAGAGCTGTACCGTTTGCAGAGAATCAACGCCATTAGTATAAAAATCCTCTTCGTCTCCCAAGCTTTCAACTGTAGTAGTGCTTAGAACAAGCTGGCGCACTTGGTCTCTGACTTCCTCCTCAGAGCCGTCGAGATTTAGCTCGACAGAGGCCACTGTATTAGATAAGCTTGCTCGTCGATACGCATTCTCGATCAGATCTTCAAATAGTTCCGCGTTGGCTGGTCGGGATGGTCGACCCTTCGGAGTCATTATGAGCGAGACGTTGGGAGGCAGGATCAATACAAGCTCTTTCACAATTCTTCCGTGTGCGGGGCAGTCTCGATTCGCTAGCTCAACCGTAGGCCATAGTTCATCAAGGAAATTCGTGGTAGCCGTCGGAGTGTTTGCTCTATCGCTGACTGGTTCAACTAGAACAGCTGCTTGAAACCTGGCATGTCCTACCACGAGGCTTGAGGATACTCCAGGATGCTGATTGATGGTGTCCTCTATAGTCAGCGGAT